CCATAACATGCTCCTGCTCCTCATCATCTCCTACAAAATAGAATGGGCTTCTTCTTCAGCTTCACTACTGTCGGAGTCTAACACGACACTCATCAGTAGTTAGCCCTTTCATCAGAGCAAACTGACAAAGTGAGACTTTGTGTGGCTGGGGCCAGTGTTAATGCACACTATTCCTATCTCGCCGCAAATCGCTGTCGCGAATACATGGTCGTCAACGATTTCGCATTTTTTGTAGCACCAAGAGTGGATAAAGACAAACCAACTACTCCTTATACTTTTCGACGAAAGTTGGAGTCTGGAATCGTACATCTGCTGTCGCTATCCCCTTCTCTCCCAAATTCGCGTCCCCCCTGATCAAGGTGTCAACGATTTTTCGCATTTTGTGTTAGCACAAGAGTGGATCAAAAGAGCAAACCACAAATATCCTTATACTTCGACTAAGTTGGAGTACTGGAATGGTACATCTTGCTGCGCCGATCCCTATCCATCGCCCAATTTCGCTAGTCCCCCTGATAAAGTGTCAGCCGATTTCGCATTTTTTGTAGCACACAGAGTGGAGATAAAAGACAAACCACGATCCTTAATACTTCTTTTAGACTACAGTTGGAGTATGGAATGGTAACATCTTGCTGCGCCTATCCCTATCTCGCCCAAATTTCGCTGTCCCCCTGAATAAGGGTGTCGACGATTTCGCATTTTTTGTAGGCACAAGAGTGGAATAAGAGACAAACCAACTATCCTTATTACTTTGACTACAGTTGGAGTATGGAATGGAAACATCTGTTATCTCGCTGCACCTATTCCTATCTCGCCCAAATTTCGCTGTCCCCCTATTATAAAGGTGTCAACATAACCCGTAAAATGTTTCTCCACAAAAATTCTCGAAGTCATCATTCAAAATTTTTGCTGATGCAAATTCAGATTTTGTGACTCCACCAGTACTGTTTTTTTAGCTTGTGATTTCAAGGAACGGCACTTACGTATATACTGTAGGGTGATATACAGTGTGTTTGGTGCTATGCATGGAGTGTATAAGACGTGCACTTGCATGGATCTAAAAGATGTTGTTCATACAGGGGCTTACAAGATTCGATCTTTCCTGTTGATCCTGCAAATCATTCTCCTACAAGCAATGGTGAGTTACCTCTAAAGATAGTCTATACTCTAATCTAGACACCAATGGGACAGAAGAAAGCGCCTATATTGTATGCATGTTCTATAGAAAGAAAAGGCGTCCATATTAGAGAGGTGTCGTCATTTCAAGATGTGTACTTAGAGAGGGCTTCCACCATAGTAAGATTTCCTCCTCTGCCTACTTCAAAAGGGTTACTGATAACACTGAAAACGAACTCAGGGTTATATATTCTCTCTCTGTCTCTGGTCCTATGAACATACTGTATATACCTCTCCCGCACAGGCCAATGTGGTAACACTCTCGTGGGCCCGTGACGGCCACTTGCTGAGTATTGCTGAGATGGTGATCCTCTGTGCACTGCTGGCCCTGTGTTTGGTCGTCATCATTATAGGCTTCACTGCGGTGAGACCACTACGTATTCCTTCTCTTCCCTCTTTCTTTCTTTCTCTGTATATATACCTTTGCAATTAGGTATATACAGTTCACTTCACAAGAAGTCATAGTATACAAGTAAATTAAAAATCCTGCAAATTTACCTATGATGCTAGGTACACCATGCCAATCCCTATGTAAGTACTACTGTACTTAGTGATAGCTATAATAACCTTTTTGGAGTGTTGCACCGTTGTTTTCATGATAAGACATGAAACTACTTCTCTGGACATGATGAAACGTAAACCTAACTGCAGCAAGCCTTCATCCTCAGTTGTCCGATTGAGCATTTTAAATGCCCAGATTCCGAACAATGTCTCCTTCTGATTGCCCCATCTCACCCTTTTCAGAAACCACTCCTTCATTCCCCCTTTTTCTCTTTTTAACACACTTTCTCACCGCACGTTCTCTTTCCCTGTCTCGTCTCTCCCTCTCTCTCTGTCGTCTCGTCCATCTCAGGTGGTGTTTGAAAACCTGTGGCTAGTGCCAGTCTGGTATTTCATCCTCTCCCCGTACTACGCCTACTTTGTTTACAAAATAGTCCACGTAAGTCTCATCACTATGCTACCAACTAGTTTAGTTTTTCATTTTTTTAATGCAGTATAGGTTATAGAAACCTCCCGATAATGGACACTTTGGGACCAGTCATTTTGTCCTTTAATAGTGAGGTCGTCCCATTATGTAGAGGGGAAAGTGATCCTCAAAGTGTGTCCTTTATTGAGCGGTTTATTCTTATTCATAGCTCTTTATCGATGGTTCTACGTATATACTGTAGTTCTTTCTGAATAATAACTACACTGCCCCCACAAGGTTGCAGCAAACTACAATGATGATTACAAACCGAAAGTCGTTGTATTCGATGACGATGATGACAAAAAGGGAATCACAACTGGTTATGGATACATTGGAAGTGCACTCATTACTACATGTAAGCTCAGGCGATCAGCTTACTTTGTTATATAGCGCCTACGTACATATGTAAGTAAAGTGCAGTGGTTTATGATTATACCATGCTGGACTAAAAAGTTCAGGTTGTAATGCCTTATAACTGCAAGCTTAGTATAACAGTCTTAAGTAAAGTGCAAGTGATTCACATAAAGGCAGGCTGAACGAAATGTATTGGGGGTTTTCATGCGGGGGACTAATAAAGGCGTTTTAGCCCTGCAAGAACCTTTTCTCTCTCTCATTGGTTTGTGACCACTACAGGTTTTCTGGGGTTGATTGTGCTGGCATTGATGTCCGTGTTCATGGCATTCAGTCACAGGAACTTCAGAAAGGGACTGAAAGAAAAAGGTGAGCCTTTGCAATGTTTTTGCCTACATTTTTGAGTATTATATGCATTGCTAGAGAACTGTCTTTGAACCCAGGCTCACGAGCCATCAGACACACATTTTCGCTTCCAAATCCAAAGCATCCCGTTTTTTGAACTATGGTGCTAATATTGAGGGTTGCAAAATGCGAATGCGAGGGTTGCAATTCGATTCACCAGCCCAGAAAGTGAAAACTGCCGCAGATGAGTATAAACCTCTAAACCTGTAAGGTTTACCTTCAAAATTAAAGTCATAAGGCCAGTACATTTAGTGTGAATTGAAAACTCCGAAAAAAGGACCCTCAGATTGGAGGACACACCTCTATGAAGACACTTTGAATCCGTCCCATGCATTAGGACATAAGAAACGTCTCTGGATGAAGGAGACCTTTTGTGTTCCAAAAGTATCCTTTATTCAGAGGTATCATTGTGATTAACCCTCGGCGCACATTGTAGAGCACTCGCCTAGACTGCAGAGTGTCGTGGGTTAGAATCCAACCCAGAGCAGCTCTTCTTCTTTTCTAAGAGCTGTCGGGTGTAGTTGACTTGTTTGCCTTGCCTTGCCTTGCCTTGCTACCTCACTACCAAGTTGTTGAGACATGCACAGTGCAGTCTGCTTAGCTGCTTACAGTAGCCTTCAACCCACGAAAAGCACTGAAGTGCAAACCCTCGGCAAACTGCGCATGCACGGCACCGACGATTGCGGTACTTGGTTCTTACAGTTCAACGTTTCCATTACAGCTCCGCCCCCAACTGAGCAGTGGCAGAGTCTATGGCGTCGGATGTCCACCGGATTTACGAAGATGCCAAAAAACTAGTCCCATTTCCTGATCCCTATGTATATACATCCTCCCACATAATATATGTACACTGACATGAACAAGAAAACTGCACCCACGAGTGTTTTTGAATCTGTATTTCGAGTCTCTACATCTGAGTGAGCTTGTGTTTTATCATGACCAAAAAATTATTGAGTTTTTACTTTTTGTGCACCTGCCCACAGCTATGGTACATTATGAATTGTATTTATGACGGCCCAAAGGTGAATTGAAGAACGTAAATTCATGCCACTGTTAAGCATTCTTGAATGATGAATTGATTTTTCAATAGGAAAACAACGTGAAATAATAATAATATTATACAAGTAAAAGAGGGAGCGATAATAATAGACCCTAATGAAGGGGAGATTGTCATTAGGAGATCTGTGGCTGTTGTGTACCTCCTTCTTGCCCCTTGTCCACCTCACTCACACACACCCACGCTCCCTCCATGCTCTCCTTCCACAGCGTCACCTGCAACAACAGACACGTGTTAGAACTGTGACTACCAGAGCGAAACCTCAGAGAAAGGATACCTCCAAATAAAGCACACCTCCAGAAAGGAACTTCCAAATATAGCACACCTCCAGAAAGGAACCTCCAAATATAGCATACCTCCAGAAAGGAACTTCCAAATAAAGCACACCTTCAGAAAGGAACCTCCAAATAAAGCACACCTTCAGAAAAGAACCTCCAAATAAAGCACACCTCCAGAAAGGAATTTCCAAATATAGCACACCTCCAGAAAGGAACCTCCAAATAAAGCACACCTCCAGAAAGGAACTTCCAAATATAGCACACCTCCAGAAAGGAACCTCCAAATAAAGCACACCTTCAGAAAGGAACCTCCAAATAAAGCACACCTCCAGAAAGGAACTTCCAAATAAAGCACACCTCCAGAAAGGAACCTCCAAATAAAGCACACCTCCAGAAAGGAACCTCCAAATAAAGCACACCTTTCTATAAAGGAAGGGTACGGTTATGAATAGATTACCTCTGAAAAGGGATATAGTGAGGACAAGTTACACTATATACAGAGCCACCTTTGAACCTCTGCACGTGATGTTTACCTATACAACACATCTCTAAGGATACCCACGACAAACGATGAAACATGTGACACGTCTCTAATATCAATGACAGAGAACAGTGGACACCTCCGCTAGTACTACATGCACATTTCCCGTCTCGTTGGCGACTGAATCAGAATCTGCATACATACCTTGTTGTCAGCTCCAGAGACGGCTAGTATATCACCAGTGATGGACCAGCTGCCATGCCACACGACATCACTGAATGTCTTCAGCACCTGCATATTATACACAATACTGAGTCTTTCTTCTATCCACACCAATAGTTATTGTAGGCCTAAATTGGGTTTACTTACTGTACATATGCTACTGGGATGGGCATTGAAGAGCACAAGGCATCTGCCACTGTGCATGTGACACAACCAAGTACTGTAACCCTCGCTGCGCATGCGCACCGAGGGTTAATTATAGCACACAAGAAAATTGACATATGTACTTATATACTAGCAGCACTGAAAACTGACCACAGAGTTCCATTTTCCTCCCACAGTCTCGTCCTTGGTCCAGATCATCACCTTACAATCCTACAGACATAGAGCAGTATATAGCTAACACCGCGGCTGCTGCCTATCCATAACATACAGTGAAACCACCAAATAAGGGACACCTTGGGGACACTTAAAGTGACCTTTATTAAGAGGTGTTTCTTATTCAGTGTATATACTAGCATGGGGCGGAATCAAGGGTCTCTCACAGGACGAAAAGCTAAATTTCCAGTACAGTTCAGTTTTACCATTCCTACACTATTCTCGAGGAAAATCATGTTTCCTGAGAAAGGACAGGGCGTATTTTATTGTACACTTTCTGGTACTTTTCCAGGACAGGTGCAGAGGAAATTGCACCCTGTACTGTTTCGAAGGAAATTCCTTATACACATACGTAGATAATGAGAGACTAACATTACTTAGTCTCATATCAATGGTCTACGTGTATGATGTGTAGTATTAGAGCTAACCTGAGAGCAGGAGGCTATTCTACTGATGGGGAGACCGATGCCGGGGCACCAGGCGACATCTCTCACCCAGTCGCTGTGACCCTCCAGCTTCTCCTCCATCACCCACTCCCCGTTCTCCTCCCTACACAACACACCATAGAGAAGACACCGCATTAAGAGGGTTCCATACCACATATAACTTCGTGGCTAGACTGCTACTATGCAAAGAAACAGGAAAGCAATAATTTTCTGGTTTCTTAGACCGAGAGTGTGCACTTACAGCCAGGGCACACAGATTTAACATGCACTTATAGCATTATCGGACGAGCTTTCACAAACTGTGTTTTAGTAGCGACTTGGTAGTGATTCTCCTTAAACAGCTTTCAGCGTGTAAGGTCCCTGTAAACATACTCTCTCCTCACAACCAAACGTTTTCTTTCTCTCGTGAAACTGATTTGCTTCCGTTCGATCCCCAAACGTGTATCTTGCAAATTTACATACACTGCTAACCACCAAAAACAACTACACATGTATGTCCCTGTATATAATATATGTTGCAGTGCCCAGACAGGACAGCATGAGCCCTGTAAGCCCAGTACATGTCGGTTGCCTAGGGATATCCAAAAACTGTCCCTTGTATATCTTGAGTTACATACTACGTATGTACAATGCATACATCCATATCTTGAGTAGCATGTCTCCTCCGCCAGTGACCAGTCGTTTCACAGCAGTCACCGGTGACCTCGCTCCACCCTGCAACAACAACACACACCCCTTAAATAACTTTCTCTGAACACTCACACTTTCTTCACACTGGAGTGGGAGACTTTTCTTTGGAGAAAGCTTTCGCACATTTAATCGAAAGGAGAAAACAATTCGCACAATGTTGGACAGTTTTACAGCCATTTGCAACTGACTTTTCCCCCCCCTTTATCAGCCTATACAATCCTACATGTGCAAGAAGGGTTCATACATGTCATTTGCCTAGGCATATCCAACAAATCTGTTGCAGTACCCGCCAGACAGGACAGCATTTGCTGGCTCACGTTTCCGGCTATAGAGTATGACACATCTATAAACCCTACAACGTACATACGTACCTCTACTAGTGACCCTGGGTTGACTGCAGGAGACCAACTGACCGAATTACAGCCCATCTAAAACACAAGATCACAAGTCACAGCGAATGTAAAGAAATGGTGCAGAACACGCTACATTTCAAGGAAGCTGAACTACGATAAGTTTCTTAAGATGAGGAAACTGACATTGTGTGCATTTTCTATCCTCTTGTACTTCCAGGAGCCTTCACCTGTAGAGAGTAACGTACCACTGTAATAACGCTAAGACAGAAGAGCAAAAACAGGACAGCACGAGTCCTTTTAAACAGATTACAAATTTTGAGCAAAAAACAACAAAGACAATGGGGTTACGTCCAACACATTTCAGCTAGTATTACTCTGGTCCCAATGTTTGCGAAATGAGCAGAGTCAATACTTGCATGTATAAGTAGATTCTAGCTATTAAAACCTCTTCTTTTGTATGGTATGTATTAACACAGACTGAGGGACCAGTAGTGTGTGTGTGTGGTGTGTGTAAGAGATCAGCTCACTGTAGTAGACGATAGAAAACGAGTCGTCAGAAGAGGCGCAGGCCAGCATCAGCCCCCACTCGTGGGGTGCCCACTGTACACTGTTAACTATGGTGGAGAGGCAAAATTATACACACAGCACTTAAAATTTTGAGGACCAGGTAAAAATTTACCGGATGATTTGTGCTCGCCGAATTCGTAGATTTTGTTCCATGTACCGTTCACTTCCTTCCAGATGATGACCTACACACATTGTGTATGTATATACACTATATCAAGCAACATAGTGACAATAGCTAACAAGAGAGTGCTGTATGGTTGAAAAATATGCAGGGTGAAAGCATTAAGAGTCATTACCAAACGCGTTATGATGAAATTTTGTGATTGGCGATGATCAAAAATTATTTACCGATACACTTTCCGAATCGTGGAAAGTTTTTTTCCTTCCAAAGGTACGTGTATGACTTCAATGCAGTAGACTTTACCTTTCTGTCATAGGAGCAGGAGGCGAGGATGCTGCCAAACTTTGGGTGGGCCCAGTCCACCTGCCACGCCGGACCTTCGTGGCTGTCGAGAGGAGAGAGTCGATAAAATATAGTGGAAATAGAGAGTAAATGGATAGTGATGGAAAGACAAAGAGAGGAAAAACGAAAGATGCGAGAGAAATAGAGGAAAGAGGTACAAAGACAGTGATAGAAAGAGAATAAAGGAGAAGGAGGAAGGTAAAAAAGCAGTAGGAAAGAGATAAAGATGGTGAGAGAAAGAGAAGGTGAGAGGTAATAGAAGGATAGTTATAGGAGGAGGAGAAGGAAATAGGTACATAAAGAGAAGAAAAGATTAGACCCAAAAAAGAAGAAAAGCGGTAATTATTAGAGAGCGATATACTCACAAAGAGGAAGAATAGAGGGAAAGGAACTGCACTGTTGCTCACCCTGTAAGTGTGGCCACCAGGTTCTGCGTGTTCTCAACCACTTCGAAGATCTTTATCGTTCTGTCGGAGGAGCACGTCGCCAGTCTCTTACCGTAGTAGTCCATCTGGGCATCGTGCTGAACAAAGACAAACAGTAAGCCATCAGGAAGCTGTATACAGTATTCTCCAGAAGCTTCATACTGAACCAAGCCTTCCAAAGAGAGTGACAGAAAAACCCGAAAAAACTTGTGACCAAGTGTCACTGGATTTTGCATATACTCTGCTCCTGTGAGGCTCATGGAAGCGTATTGTGACGTACAATAAAGGTCTTACTATCATGTCCTCGTGGCCCGTGTCCACCCTGTACTGCTCCGACACCACACCGCTCGCCATGACCGAAGGTGCGCTTCAATTGGAGCTGATGCGACCGAAGGATGAGGCGGTGAAAGGTTTGGAACCGTAGCTAAGCAGGTGGAAAAACAGACTAACTTGCGCTGAGGTTGTGGCGCTATGTCCGAGCCTCTCAAGGTTTGAGAAACAAGCGAAACCTCGCAAAAGACGAGAATCCACGTAAGATCAATGACGTGTTCGCGCATGCGTTAACCCACGTGTAAAGCATTGCTGCACGTTTCAAGGAGACGTCGGGATGTCAAGCTTCTTCCTGCCCTCAAAACGTTCTACCAAAGACAGAAAGAGAAAAAAATCTGTCGTGAGAAAACCGGTGGGTCCCTATATGCCCTCTCGCTCTCTCAGTTACCTAGCCAAGGTGTTGAAGTGCTCTAATTAGAATAACCGTGCTTTAGCGACCCGAGAAAGAGGTCGTCAAAGGCCCTAAAAAGATCAAAAAGACTGCCAGAGACGAAGAAATAGATAGTGAATCTGACCATGAAAGGTTAGTGTATATTCTTGTAAAGGAAAGGTTGGATTTACCACCCACTAGCACGAAGGTGGAAAGAAAACCAAACGGGATAAAGATAGTGGATGATGATGAGGAGGAGGAGGAGACAGTGGCAGAAAAGAGGCTCCGACTGGCAAAGCAGTACATAGCTCAAGTGGAGGAAGAGGGTATGTCTCTACACACCTTGAAAGATTTCTGGTGTAATGGTACTGATACACCCACCTCCCACTGCAGAGTTGAGTAAGAGAGAAGATGCCGAGTTGGACTATGACGCCATTGCCCATCGCTTGAAGGAGGATGTGGTGAGTCCACACAGTGTGTTTCAGATGTACTACGATTATCACGTAGTAATGGTGCATACTACTTAAGTATCTGTGACCAATTTCACACAGTTGAGGGAAGCTGGCAAGCTACAGAGGAAAGTTGCAGACACAGTGAGTCTAACTGCTCTATGATATGCCGATGTGTGCAGTTGGCAGTATGTATAATATATATACCTTTATGCGTATGGACATGGGTCACGGTACATACGTATGTAGTGCAGTGTTGGTATGCTGCTGGTGTACTAGCAAATTCATGTGTCCATTGCCTGTGTTAGTTGCCGCCCCATGTGGTGTACATAGTAATTCGTTAAAATTAGGCGTTTATGCAGTAGTCAGTGTGGAATAGAGTACTTTGTAAGAGATCCATTACGCTCCACATATTCTGTTTTCGTCCTGCCAAAGCTCTGTGCTCCTGGGATTGGTGACGTTCGAACTCTACGTGGTCATCAGTTGCCAGTTACTTGTCTTGCTGTTACGCCAGATGATCGGTTTGCCTTCTCGGGTGACAAGGATGGATGCATCATAAAATGTACGTGTACCAATTCATATTAACCACATTTCACAATTAAAGTGTATATAGCTGTTTGTATTAGTGTTTAGATTTTTAGTTTGCTTCTATGGAAGCTTTTGAAGAAGAAAGTAATCCAATTCAGTAGCAAATAGGTATTTTACAAACCTTTGCGGATTGCTTGTCCTTATAAAAGTAATCATCTAATCACCACGTGAAACGTTTGTCAGTTTTTCCCCATCATCTAGTATTGGTGTATATAATCTCATTGCACTTTTTTCTGCAGGGGATTTAGAGAGCGGTGTCAAAGTTCATGTCTTCAAGTGCCAGAAGAGAAGGAAGAGAGAGGGGAAGAGGGGAGGGAGGGGGAGAGGGAGGGAGAGAGACGACACACCTGGCCACGCTGGATGTGTTCTCGGTCTAGCAGTCAGCAGTGACGGGAAATTTCTTGTAAGTGTGACTTTTGACATCATAATGATGCAGTGGGTAAATCAACAGAAAACGTCTGTCTCACAGGTCACTCTTGTTGCCTTTACTGGCCTGTATGCTACGCCGTACAATTATTATTGCCTCTTTTCCTACCCTGTATAATACCCTGACCCGAAAACGTGTCGTTTGTATTACAGGCAAGTGGAGGGAAGGGTGGTGCCGTACATGTGTGGGACGCCGAAACCAATGCTCATATCCACAAATTCACAGGACATAGAGATACTGTGTCGGTGAGTATGCACAATATGTAGTATACCTTAAATTTAGCGGCTTTGGGGCATTTGCAATCACTACAATTTACGTGTGCTGATTCTTAATGTGGTGTGTCTGTGTGTTTGGGAGAGAACGTCTTTTGCTTTCTCGAAACCCAAAAGATAAACGAACCCATAGTATGCGGTAATTCATGCATGCGTGTGTATGGAGTTATCCCTTTCTTGTGTAGGGTCTGGCCTTTCAAGGAAGCAGCCATGAGCTATTCAGTTGTTCTCTGGATAGAACGGTGAAGATTTGGAATCTTGACGAGATGCTCTATGTGGAGACTCTGTGAGTCAATGGAGTGCCCTGTTTGACAGTTACTCACCGAAAATCCTCTGAAATTGCAAATCACTGTTATATACCATGTGTGTGTATATGTTTTAGCGAACTTTGTGTTATTTTAACGAACGGAACTGTACAACTAGAAAATTTTAGTAAGCTCATTAGCTAACTCTTTTGAAGAACATTCTCTTGTCTCTTCTTCTCCCCCTCTCCCCCCACCCCCCTCCCTGGCAAGGTTTGGTCACCAGGACGGAGTGGCAGCCATCGACTGCCTCCAGCGGGAGAAGCCGGTGACAGCTGGCACCGACGACCGCACGGTCAGGATCTGGAAAGTGGTGCAAGAATCGCAGCTTGTCTTCACCGGACATAAGTGAGAACGTCTGTGTTACATCTCTCAGTATGATGTACAATATTATAGTAAGGTTTCTCCATTTCTGATAGGAGTGAACTATTTTGTTCTCTTTTTAGAGCATCCATAGACTGCGTGAGATTGATAAATGAAGAGCACTTCATTACTGGCTCCCAGGACGGGTATGTACAAAACAACTACATATTTTGTTGTGTTTGCTTTAAGTATTTCAGGAAATATTTTTCCTAGCTATGCAAATCCAGGTGCACTTCTATGTTAAGCAATTTTTAGTATATTGAGGTTTTGTGTGGATTTGACCTTCCCAATTAACAACTACATGTCCCAACATAACTTTTATTATATGTAGCTGCTCGATTTTTGGTATAATTTTATACTGCTAACCTTTCCTACATATATTAAGGCATTGTGTTGACCACTACATGTTCCATACTCATTTCCTGCATTCCTAGTATAATAATTATAGTAATGTTTTCAATCAGGTATATATATAGTATGTGGGGCAGGTCCTGTGGGTTTAGACATGCTTCATCCACACATTCCTGAATGGTTTGCCAAGTGATTGTAGGCTATGCTATTATTATGTTTGCCAGTTGTCTATAGCAGCAATATGTACTGGTTGCCTGTATATAGCAGCATTGCACTCTGGGCAGTGGTAAAGAAGAAACCGCTGGTGAGGAGACTCCATAACTCTGCCGTGTGTGAAGAGGGAGGAGGGGAAGGGAGGGAGGTGGGGAGTGGGTGGGTGACAGCCGTCGCTGCATTGCCCAACACAGACCTTGTTGCTTCAGGTGAAAACAGTTTACTGGCAGTACTGGTGACCAAATCTAAGTGTGCATTTACTTAATCACGCCACAATTATTGTGGCGACTAGGTGTGCTTGCTCTGTTCACCAATACCTATCTGTTGCAGGTTCTAGTAATGGGCACGTGGCTCTGTGGAAATGCGGAGGCGACTTTCGATCTCTGGACAGCAGTTTCACTGTTGAAGTGGTGAGGCTAATAGGATATGAATCTGATTTCACATTACTTTCTTCTCTCTCCATTTTATCTATTTCTCTTTATTAATCTACTCTCTCTCTCTCTTCACTCTCCGTAGCAAGGATTTGTGAATTGCCTGCAGTTTGCCCACTCTGGCTCATGTCTGGTGGCAGCGGTAGGTCAGGAGCATAGACTAGGTCGCTGGTGGAGGGACAGCTCGGTGAGAAACTGCATTGCCATCATCCCACTGCCAAGGACTCAAAACTGCTGACTTGCATAATTTCCTACACTATTGTGTAGCATCTGTATTGTATGTGTTGTTGATAATTGTGAAGCTCAGCATATTATGTTACTTTAGGGAATGGTCGGCTAACAATGAACAAACAACTCAGTGGGACAGACAATAAAAGTATGTAGCGAGATACTATTTGCGCAGTTTAGTAAAGATGGCGTGTAGTTAAAGTTGTTTTAGTGACTAAGCAGAATAAGTGGTCAGCTATACAATTTTACAGCTATATTATAGTGATGTTATTGGGACAAAAAACTTAGGGCTATGTATAGTAGGACAGACTATATAAAAAGTGTAGTTATCGCGGTCTCAACAGAATTTTGTCTTGATGTCTCGTGCCAGTCGATTGTTTTTCACATCCTTCAAGGCAGCCACAACGCCATTCCAGGTCGGCTCCTCGCTTTCCTCCAACCAAATCTTGAAAACTTCCTTCAACTTGTCTTGAGTTTTTCGTAGAGAAGCATCGTTATCGATCGTGTTGATAGTTTGATCGTCTCCGTTGAGGAGACTGAGAGCGAAACAGGTACCATTGGGCGACTTTCACATTGTCCATCAGCTCCTTCTGTGTAGGGGTCCTCATACCTGCAGTAACACCCAAGTCGTGTCATGTTGACAGGATTAGGTGAGGAGGCGTATAAAATGGTATACATGACACTGATATCATACTCAGCAGTCTATAGCTACTATATATAGCACTGGTGGAAGCTCCTAGAAGTAGCCACTGTCATGAAATAGGCGGAATACGTTGATGTGACCAAAGTGGTGAAAAGGTGCTTGTGTCAGCGCCATGCGAAATACGTACCTCTGTCCCCATTTGAACTTGTGCCTGTGTAAGTCATGAAAAAGTATGGAAGAAAGCAATGTATTAGCACAATCAACTAACTGGTTGTTGGTCCTCCGTTTGCAGCACCTTTTGCTGTGACAGACCAAAAAACTAATAATGCAAATCTACGTACGAAAGGCTAACACGGTATAGCTCTGTACCTTTCTCTTCGTCGTAATTTCTGAAGCATAATAGTAGTATGGATAAATGATCGACACTGGGATTGTCAGTTTTACCTTGTATTTGGTTTGCAACAGGAACAAGGGCCGGCTCGGTGTTCAGCGCGTCTAACAGCTTTTGTAGGACATGCGGGTCGACAGCAACGCGCCGCTCCAGTGCGGTGAACATTTCCTCGAGTTGCTGACCCGCCGTCAGTGTCTTGTGCGTGACTTTCTCTCTCTCGTCCGGCGTGAGCAAGAAGTTGCCGTAGAGCACCGTCACTAGGTTCTCGGGGTCCACGCCGCCCTTGAAGACCGCGTTACTCCTTCGCAGAGCTCTGGCTTCCGCAGACATGGCCATCTTTCTCGAGATCAGCGTAGGGGCGCTAAGCTGTAGCTAGCTCAAATGTGACAGACACGACACGGACGAGGCCCACCCCCTACGCACACGCAACGTAATTTCCTCAGCCTAATTACGGGGACGACGTAAACGTTACTAAGCCCCGCCCCCTTCAACGTGGTGCATGTCGGCTGCATGCATGCTGTGCTCATGATGAAGAAGAGTACTGGATTCGTGTACCCCGCGGGCCGTGCCTCATCCCGTGGCAACATGGGGCCGAGAAGGGCGCAGCCGGAGAGAGCCAGGCTGCAGTTCGAGCGCGTCTCGTCGCCTAGGAAGAGAAAACGTTCTCCGGAGTCCTCCTCCTGCAGGTTTTTATACATTATCACTCTGTTACTTTCATGTACACGCAATTTGTTGCAAAAATCCTCATGAGTTCTCACTCTCGCCCTCATATATACAGAAGAGAGACAGCAGCCTAAGCCACCAGTGGAACGGGCAGAAGAAGAGGAGGACGACTTTCTGGACGAACTAGGATGTGCAGCCCTGGACGACTATGAACTGACGCAGAGACTAACCAGTATCCATGAACCATCAACCTCTGGACTGAATCAACCCTGGTCCAGTGAGGTAGCAGCTGCCGGGACGACTTCCAAACAGGTGCATCCCTTGGTGATGATTCCACCTGGATCTCACATGGAACAGATGTCAGTGACCACGTCAACTTCGCAAGGAGGGAGAGGTGGTTCAGAGGAAAGAGTCAGTGGGCACCAGAGGATAATGCCCACTGGTGGAGAAGATAGAGGTGAAACTGGCGAAGCAGAAGAGAGGGTCAGAGAACTGCGTGAAAAACTGAAGGAGTTGGAAGAGAAGTAGCTACAATAGAGACGGGGAGGTTACGCTGCTGCGGAAGGAGCTCAAAAAGAAGGAAGACCAGTTGCGGGAGATGCACACTCGGCTTGTCTCTGAACACCAGCAGAAAGAAGACGAGTTGAGTCGACAGACAAAGTCGCTCTCGACGCAGCTCGAGTTCAAGGACCAGGAATTGGCAGCACTCAGAGAGAGGTGCTCGAGTTTGGAACAGCGACAAAAGAACCAATCATCTGTGATCCATACCAGTCCCGTTGCACCGCCACCGAAACCCAGTGGGCAGAAGAGCAGTGATTTTCTCTCCACGGAAAATTTCATGCCCCTCTCGCAGATGAGGAGCCAGGGGGACGTCACCCCAATCCACGTTTCTACTGCTACAAAGAGAAGCGGTCATAGTCTTGGAAATGAAAGCAAGATCTCGCCTGAAGCAAAGAGAGCAGCCCCCAGGCAGTTATCCCCCATTCCGGGCCCTTCTCCAGCTAGTGCTGGATTGAAGGCCCACGGAGCCAAGGCAGCTGTGCCCTCCCAAGAGACACTGGGGGCTGGGAAGTCCTCTCGTTCTTGTAGCCCGGAACCCAGCAAGCCTGTCTTCAACCTTCCTCCACCGGAGATCAGCAGTCAGGACCTCCTGATGCTACTGGCTCGACCGGAACTCCTAAAGGTGCCCAGACTCAGAAGCGACGAGGAAGACTCAGCGGAAGAATCCGTCTCCATGCTGGAGCCAGACGGCTCCTCCCTCCCCGGGCTCTTCTCGCTCCTCCACATCCCTCAATCATCCTCCTCTTCCACGCGCTCCACGCCGCTCTTTCCGAGCGGTGGTGGACTCAGTACTCCAGTCTCAAGGTTTCAAGACCCGATCACCCCCACCAGTGCTGGGAATAGCAGTATGAGCAATCCCTCGTCAGAAGTCAGCACTGATTCCTTTCCTCCTTCTACACCCGCTCGAAAGTCGCGACTTCACAGTCGACTGCCACACACCTGCGCTCGGACGGACGTGTCGAAATCACGAATAGCCGAGGATAACTTTCCCCTGCGCAAGGCTCAGTCAGCCTCGAATACTCCAGTCCAAGAGAGCTCTCTGCCAGTTGAAATAGTGGAAAAAGAACCCGAGGGTATTTCACAATCATTGTTGGATAGCCTGGACGTGGAAAGCATCACGGGAAGCATACGGTCAATGCTGACAGATAGAGACATCTCACTGTTTAGCCAGCACAGTGGGTTTAGTAGTCTACCCGCTACTCCTTTCCCGTCCGCCCCACCTTCTCTCTCCGACTCGGCGGGAGTGCCTGACTGCGGCCTTCGCGAAGGCGACAGTCCCACTGTTGAAATGCAGCTCCTGGAGCACATAGGGGACGTCGTGATACAATATGTCAGGGAACAAACCGAACAGGTCCAGAGTACGACGCTGAACGCAACCTCAAATCCCTCCCAACACGACTCCTTCGAAAATACTCAGTCTCCGAAATCCAGCGCCAGTAGCAACACTGGTTCATCCGCCCGCAACACGGCTGATCTGAACGAGCCATCGAGAGCAGACCAGTCGTTCCTCTATCGCATTTTGACAGTGTTGCACACGCTATTGACATATAGCGGCAAGGCCAGAGACCAACTTATTGCACCACTTCCTCCAAGGTATTCGCTCGACGACGAAGTTGAACCGACTGTTTTGGAGGCAGAGCTGGTTAGGGAGGCCGAGGGAGGTCGGGAAGAAGGTGATGAGATGGAGGAGGAAGGAGAGAGAGAGGCTCGTGTTGGAAGTGCGGCAACACCAAAATTATCACGTGAAAGCAGGGAAACCCAACCAAGGGTAAGATTATTTTGTAAAGGCCAGCATAGAAGAAATACGTACTTAGAAAGTATGTATATACCCTGCTACAAATTTCTAACTTAGAAATGCATTCAGCTAGTGAGCACACTTTACTCATTTATGTCTTAGTAAAAGTTGTTAGTCACAAGAAGGTGGATCTTAAAAAATTACTGCAGATAATTATTGTTATGTGATTGATGTTCTTTTAGACCATGAAATGGAAGGGCATGGTGTTGGAGCAGATGGCGCCAACTGGTGAACTCTCCCGAGTGTGGATACCTCGCAAGACGGAGGAACCCTCCAGTCAAGAGGCGCCATCGTCGTCTTCTCGGGACTGGAGACGTCGTCGCAGCACCAGTGTCCCCCTCTCGGTAACTCCGTATGGGAGAGGAGCGAGGGAGGAGGGAGACAAAGACGCGAGGAGACGGAGGTACAGTGGAAGTTACGGAGGAAAAGGCGGGAAGCTGCTATCGTCTCTTCTCCAGCTTGTTTCTCTGCAGTGGGTGAGTTAATCTCCTGGCCTTTATTTTACCGTTAGACTTTGTGTTCTTTTAGATAGAGTCGAATGAAGTGATTTTACTTGGGCTCAAGTTGCTGTTTATTTTGGCTCGGGATTGCCCTTATGAACAGCTAGAAAGGTATGGCAGTGAGCCATGTATGTATGCCTAACTATAATTATCAAATAAGTAAGCAACGATGTACAAAAGGTACAAAGCCAGCACTGTGGCTTATGAGGTGACTATTCATTAAGTATGAACTGTCTCTTCATAAACATTGTATACAAGAATTTTGAAATCTTTCTTGAAGTGTTTGCCTCTTTTATATATAGTGCAACATAATTTGTCCTGTAAGGTTAGCACTTCAAAAGTTGGTAATGTATGCATGTGTCGTGGATTCAAATCCTACCCAGGGCAGCTCTTCTTCTTTTCTTTGAAAAGAAAGAACTGTCCTGGGTATAGTTGACTTGTTTGACTCGCCTTGCCTTTCTACCTCGTTGCCAAGATGTGTGAGACATGTATATAAACGAGTGAAGGGACAGCTCTCCATTTGTTTGATCTGGTGCTAATGTGATAGTTTCACAGTTTGAATAAAGATACCCCTTCCATTTTTCTAGTGTCCTTAATTACTGTGAAGCCTTATGAGGACATCTAAAATGCCCTCTTGGGCATAACCAAGTCTCATAGAGAGGTGTCCCTTTATTCAAATGAGTTGGTTACATTGCAATCTGAAGGTTTTCTCGACTGTTGGAGAGAGATGGACTGGACACGTACCTGGCAGAGGAACTACCCAACCCTTCACTGTCCCTTGAATCACTGAAACTGCTCACTTGCCTCTCCAACTCTCCCCAGCTTACTAATTCCCTCTGCTCAAAAGGAGGTTAGCATAATCGACCATGCCCCGTTTGAAATATCCAAAAAAAGTGTTTGACTGTGTAGTTGGTATGGTGGGTCAGTAAATATGTTACTATGTGTTATGTCTCTGTATGTGTTACTTAGTTGAGATGACTATATAGCTAGCATAGTTTCTTAAACCAATGCTTGTGCACTATGCTGAGTGTTATCACTTTAGTTCCTTTCATTTTACTGCATGAACAGAACTTTTTTTTTAGGCCTTGTCTTGTTTGTCATCACAGACCCTTCGTACGGTTGTCTGCTTTTGCTCTGCTACGATTTCTTCACAAAGAAAGTCACAGAGGATGCCCACATGCAGTATCTCATACACAGTCAGTTGGTGCAGCTGGTGTCCACTATATCAATGGTGGAGGGTGGGCCTTCTGTCCTATTTGAGTCAGCCTGCCCCTGCTGCATGGAGGTATGTAGGTACGTACTACCGTTGTAGGACAATCAATGTTGATTTGTATGTAGATGTGACGAATCGCACAACTGGCAAGCTTACATTGACAGTGTCTTCTGAAACAGTGTGTTTTTAGCTGTGCTTGAGGCGCTCTAAACAGTGAATTAGTTATATTTTAGAGACTAAATGCGGCTTGCACACCCAATGAGAAAGTTCAAGTACACATTAGTGGACTACGCAATGCACCTTTGAACGCTACGCCGCAGAGCACAGTATTGTGCATAAACTTTTTCCCTTCCTGCTAGTTGCTGAAATCAATGATGACTCTTATTCAACACCTCGTCCAAGATGTATGCTTCAGCGAAGATCTCACGCGATCAAAGTATGTGCATTCATTGTGATGGTTGTTACTCAGACAAGTAATATACACTCTATGATTATAATGGTAAGGGAGTTCTGAAGGAGAAAAAGTTTTAGAGTATATACAGCGATTTCCTTGACATTATGTAGACAGGAAAACCCTTGAAAGAAAATATACACATCAATTCACAACTTCCTCCCTCAAGATGTTCCTACTCTGTAGCATTTCATGACTTTTGAACTTTTACCATTTAACCTCACCCCAGTGTGCTACTGCTGTGCTCTCTGGTGGTTTTACTGAACAGAATCAGTCTCATTGACCGTTACTTTGACACCCACAAGGACGCTTGCAACTACACCTTCTTGTACTCCATACGCACACTCAAATATCTCTTTGAGGACCACAATGAAGTCAACAGCACCACAAGTGAGGCTGTAGCAGAAACCTTCGAGGGAGAAAGCTTTCGAGAATTTGGAGACGTAATTAGTGGAATTATGAGCATGATTCTAACTATATACTGGGGCGACCCTCAAAAAATAATAGTTTTCTCTCCCCTCTCCCTAAAGTATAACACTACACACCCATGCTGATTCCGGTGACCGCTATACGCAGGCACTAGAGTTTTCGTTTTCTTGGGACAAAGAAAGAATGCTTGTCCTGCGAAAAAATTTTTCGATATACCAAATTCTCTCGAAAGCCTTTTCCCTTAAAGGTTCTTGCTACTATGTGGTAAAGTGATCTCTTCTCCTTTGTTTGACAGAATACATACTTTCTGAACTTCACTCTGAATTCTGTGAAGACGACTTGCCGGAGGATGGTAGTGGTGAGGATGAAGAAACATGAATGAGTGCATCATTGCAAAAAAAACCTCATGCACAAAGAAGATTGGTACACTGGTGGTTTTATGAGCCTAATAATGAGTGTTTTATACCTTGTAGAAAATATACATTGACATGTTATCTGTCGTATAGTCTGTGTGGGACACCAGTGCTGATGGTAAGTGTATATCCTTATCATAACCCTATACCTCTGGTATCCCTAATACATCTGGTAAGTACATAATGAGCGCACAATTGTTAGTACAGATGGTACACGTCCATTTTGCTCAATTTGTTCCTGTCGTGCAACGAGTTGAATTGCGAGCCGAGAGAACTTGCACGATAGAATAACATCGGTGCTGGAACTCACAACTTTGACAGCCTTTTCAACTCCATCCAGTCACTGGCCAATCACGATTATGCTCACAATTCGAGATATTTGTTAGCCAAGATGGTGGAGTTTATCAGAAATTTCAAAGCTTTCGTTGTCGAATTGCTCGACATTTTGACGTGTTTTGTAGAGATAGCTGAGTGGCAGTATCTCCCACAGCAGCAACTATCACAACCCCAGCACCCATTGCCCCCATCACCGCAATACACTTCCAGTTAGAATTTGTTTCTCTCGGGAGGTCTGTCTCCAGGAAAGTCTTCCCCCGTGCAGGACATGATGACTTTTTCAACAGGTAGCTGTGAGCAAAACGACGTGGCTGCTCTTTTATATATTGGCCCTGCGAATACGCCCAAAAACATGCGCATGCGCGAAGATCTGCGCCGCAGCCGCCGCCGCCGGTTAGCTGCGGGCGCTCACGGTGTGTACGCAACATTATGACCTCAATGCCTCATTTGTGCGGTCATTTGTAGTATATACACCGGAGAGAGTAAAAGCTACTGCCCGCAAACAGAACTGTTGTATTATAGCAGTTGGCTAGCTATAACCTAAACAATAATGAGAGTAGGCCTATAGCTATAGCATGCAGCAGACTTTTGCAGTTGCAGCTCACGACTGCCTATAGCTACTACTTTGATTTTGGCAGTCCAAATTCTTGCTCTAGACCTTGAATGCGGTTATTGAAGGGCCAGGGCCACTTTTGCCGCTGCGCCATCTCCACAATGAATTTCTGCGTATCCACAAGTTTCTTGTGCACAGCCGAAACATCTGCTGCAGTGGTTGCCGCATCCCTCGTGGTGGCTTCCAGCTTTCGCTCCACCTTACTCTGCCAGGATAGCGCCGTGCCGAGTTCACTCGCTAGATTGGATAACTTCTGCGAGTGACTACTCAACGTGGCGGAGACTTCACTGCTGGATTTGACGGCTTTCTCTACTGCTGCGAGGCGTGTATCGATACTCTCGATTTTGCTCGCAGTTCGTGAAATCTTCTGGGCGAGACGGCCGAGCATATCTGACATTTCAATATTGCTTGAGGGAGCGCTTTCTAAGCGCTTGATCTTCCTGTACAGACAATAGGCCATGATTGCACCTGTTGCGGCAGCTACTGCGGCTACTCCAGCTGCCGCGGCGAATACTATCCACGTCCAATTGGTCATCCCTGGCGGTGGCTGTCCGTCCTGGCCTGCGACACCAACCATGACCCTTTCTACGCCTCCGTCATTCTCTTTGGCCCCAGCACCATCCTCGACGTAAGGAACGGGGTAAGGAATTTCGGGCTCCATGTGCGGATATCTGTCAATCAGCTGATTGACAGAAAGGCGTGGCTCGGTGCGCGCGCACGCACATCACACCGACCGACAAAGAAGCCGGTTGCAGCACACAGATAACAGAGCTAGAGGAGAGCGAGAACAGTGATGGTGACCCGCTGGACGGGTCGCGCGCGTCTTTACGCGTGCGTACTCAGTGCAGCGCTCATCTCGTCCCTGACTTGTGCAGCTCCGCTCGCGGCGAGCGACGATAACAACGACGGAGAGTTCTACCACACGCTGAGCTGGGAGACCCGTTGGGTGAACGTGGACCGTACGGAAACGACTGACGTCCGTGTGCCGATCGGTAGAGAGCACGCACAGCAACCGGCAACGGGTTTCGTGCACTCAAGAGTGAAGCGGATTGTATACGGAGAAGATGATAGGGTTCGGATCGATCCTGCAACCGACGGAAAGCGGTTCCCCTACACGAGCATCGTCCGGGTATCCACTGGTTGTTCAGGAGTGATGATATCACGAATCCACGTCCTAACTGCGGCGCACTGTGTCCATGACGGAGACGCGTATCTCCAGTCGGCCCTTCTGTTCCTCAGGGCCGGCTATTTAGACGAGGAAGGCGAGACACAATGGTTCTTTGTGAAGCGATTCTTCATTGCCAACGAATGGAAGAACAAGACCGAGAGTGGGGCTCACCAGTATGGCGACTGGGACGATAACGATTTCGCTGTGTTGGAGATGGTCGGCGAAGAGCTGGGAAAAAAGAGGGACATTATGAAGCCCGGTATTAGCGGGCTTTTCTGCAACGACCGCAAAAGTGTCCACGGAGCCGAGTCGCAGATTGAATTTGTGAGTTTCCCTGACGACAAGATGAAAAATGCCTACTGGTATGTGCAAAGCTTGGTTGAAACCGAGTCGCCGCATCTTCTGTACTTCACTGGTGATGCCACTCACGGCTGTTCGGGAGCCGGCCTGTATGCGTGGGACTACAACTCGCAATCGGAAGAGTATGAGAAAAGAGTTATTGGGGTCCTCTCTGGTAACAGAGACACCGTGCCGTTTGCCCAGAGCCAGGGAAACTTCAACGTAGCCGCTCGACTGACACCCACAAATTTCATGATGGTGTGTCACTGGATAGAAGAGGAGGAAGAGTGTAGGACGAGGTACGCTGACTACCTGGACAAGGATCGTCATGAGAGCTTGTGTCGGTCTTAAACTGATAGCTAACCATTACTTTAAACTAAGGACCAATTATATGGGTGACTATAGCTAATTGAAATCTTCATGAGAGTTTGGACTCATGCCTGGATCCAGCTATCTAGCTTTCACCAACTTCTGAAAATTTTAACAACATTCGAAAACAGTACAAAAAATTTTTTACGACAACCCATAAGTTTTTCTGGTGGCTCCGCCAAATTGCACATATCCCCTTGCATTCTCTGGCCATGCTCGCCTCTGTTCCATGTGCGGCGCGTGTGGATTGTAGATTCTGGGATGTGTCACTGGGTGGAAGATGTTGTATAGAGAATAGGGCTTGTCCTCCAGTTTCTCTGTGGGTAGCCATAGTCGAAGTTTGCCAGCCAGAGCACCAGGCCAGAATGCATTGTTGTCTGGCAGGCCGTGGTACTTGTAGTTGAAGCCAGGCCTTGAAGTTATTTTCCTGTGTGATAGTCAAAATAGAGGTCATGTCGGCCAGACATCCCATATTGTAACGGAACTCACCGGGTTATCCACTGATACTCTTTGAATGTGAGCCAACAGTCAACCTTTGGTGCAACTGTCACTCTCTTCAAAACTGCTTTTCTCACGCAAGCAGGATCCGAAGATTTGTTCTGCTTTGGAGGCTTAGGCAATCGGATTACGGAGGGCTTTCTCCTTCCCTTCATCTCCTTGTAAGCCCATCCAAACTTCTTCCCGTAGTCCTCTCTCTCCACTGTCCTAGCCTGTTCTCTAGGTGGAGCTGTGAACTGTTGAGAAAGTAGATCGAGGCCTGGCTGCTTCAAGGCCTCTAGACAGTTCTCTCGTGAGTGGTCATAAGGTAGCAAAAGGGCTGCAGAAAACATGAAGAGGTTAAACTTGGTTACAGAAATACCACGCAAAAAGGTTAATATGCATGGCTAATATGCACCCTTTTCAAGTAGTTGTCTGTCAAGTATGATCCCCCTCTCTCGACAGAACTTCAGCAAAACTTCAAACTGCCTTCTTTCCTCGTCCTTGTAAGCGGTTGCAAGTGCACCCCTCTCTCCGCTCATTGTACACTGAGCCTCCACAGTGTCTGTAGGTACCACTTCTTTCTCAGCAGCAGTGGTAGAGTCTACAGCACTAACTATGAGAGATCTTTCCATCTCAAAGTAGTTCTCGACACACTGTAGGAGGCCACCTTTCAAGAGTGGCCTGTAGTCTATTGTTCCGTCTTCGCCTACTTGTCCTTTCAGAATCAATTCCATGCTCTCTTGAGAGATACACGGGCACATCTTTTGAAGTACACTCTCCAGTTCCTCGATGCTAATTCTGCCGGTTCCGGCTGGGTCGTGGAGGGTCAATAGGCTAACAAATCGCTGTCTTCCATGCAAGATGTGTGATGACAGTGTCTCAGCCTCGGCGAGTGTACTCCGTCGGCTGCGAGAAAGTGATTTCTGGCGAGATATGCTCTCACTTTTAGCAGTGGTTTCACTGCTCGTTACTGGAAACACCTGCATACAAGTAAACTCAACACACGGTCTATACTCTTGCAGTAGCAAGGATATAACTATAAAGGAGCAGCCTAGGTTGCATTTGCCCTCTCACCTCAGATTTTGACGCAGTGATCGGGCTGGCGGCGATTGCACCTCTACGTTTCCCCCGCATCTCCGCCAAAAGCTTGTTCTCTAGCGGAGTCCTCGTCTTTGTGCACAACCAGCGCTCCGAGAGAGCCATCGACTCCAAACCGTCCCTCGTTTTCTTTCTCTGTTCTATCCACTGCCGGTATTGGTCTTCATTGAAGTCGCTCGTTTCCACTGAGTTTAGATTCACATCCGAGTGTCTCCTCTGCAGAGCAAGCGGCTTCTTTTCACGAAGGTGTTGGGCTGTTTCGAGCGGTCTCCCGTCCCACGTTCTCCTCAAGTTGGCCGCGTGTGGTACCAGCTCTCGCGGGACGTAACGACTCGCATCGATCACTCGGTGTCTGATGGGTTCAGAGCCAAACAACTTTGTTCCCAACCTGTAAAGATGCGACGGTATCAGGTCTCGCTGTCTGTAGCAATGAAGCTCCTGGGAAGGACAATTCCCAGCCATATTATTTCCAAAGTGCACACACGCAGCGGGTGAAAAGTGGGAGGGGCTCGTTGCGTGCAACGCCCGCAGTCAATGTCGGTGATTATACTGTCCATACGCGAGCCTTCCTCCCATTATTATGACGATCGGTTAGCATGCATGCTGGATTGCTGAAACTCAGTTTAATTATGAACGTTTGTCGCCAACCATATTGCCATAGTTACGTATTCGTATTACGCATGCGCGTAACGACACGCTACATAATAGTGATCGGGTTGCAGTCGCCTGTACATTAAAAACTAGCATCATGCATGCACCCTGTATGAGAGTTTGGTTTAAAATACTGGTGTTTTTAATCTCATCGTGGGGAGAGTTATTCTCTGAGCTGGCAGAATAGGGCAGCTCCCTTGTTGATCCAATAGTCCTGAGGCTGGCTGGAAGGGATCTCCACCGCCACAACAAAGTTAGTAGAATGACCTGAACAGTTCATCGAACAAGAGAATGTAATAATCCACAACCCACCCAGAGGTAAGACCTGGTATTCTAATGATTATTGGTCTGTGTATGCGTCTATTGCATGGGCGCTTTTTCCTTTGAATGTTGTATGAAAAACGTGTTCGCTTTTTCTCTATTAGCTATTCCAACTGTACAAAGGTGCATTCACCCATTCAGTTTTTTTGCATGCATGTATCATAGAGGTATCAAAAAGCAAGGTAAGTTACAAAGATGAAGTGGCGGGTCTGGATCGTACCAGTTGTTGAGAGGACCCCAGCACGCTCCTGTGTCTTGTACAGCGGAGATAAATAGTCCGCAGGATTAGCCACGTGGTTGCGGTGAGGCTCCATGTGCATCATTGGCAGGGGCTAGGCAAAAAGGGCACAAATCAGCACAACAAGTGAAAAACTAGCTATGAGCCCAGTAAGTGATAGTGTAGGGCTAGTATTGAGAAGCAAAGGTGGAATTGACTAACTGGGTTCATTTCTCCAGGTCTTGAGTCCACCACTGCCATTGTTTCATCATCCCATTTCATAGCCTCCATGAACAGCCCGTGCACCACCACTCCATCCTGCACATTATACACAACAACCTCAGTGAGGCTAGGTTCACAATAATTATGTTGCATTGCCCAGTCGTGCTGTGCCACGTCGCATCCTACCGCGAGGATAGAAATGGATTCTATCCTCCCTCTGCTTCTGTGCTTTTTTCACAAACCTCTGGTTTTTCCAGAGTCTCGTCAATCTTCCCCTCTTCTTTCTTCATGGCTGCATTGTAGTAGTCCTCCTGGTGCCGGTACTGGGGCAGAGGAGTGAACTTGAAGCTCAGCTCATCGATCGGCAGATTGTACTTCCGCGCGTGGTTCTGGAGCGCGCCTGTGAGAAAACCTTGCGGGAAGAAGAATCCAGACAGCCAGAAGGACTTAGGGTGGCCATTATCGATCCAATGCTACATGAGATAGAAAGGAGAGGGCATTTTATGTTACAAGAATCTTTTAACAGTACCCAACTGTACCTCTATGAAATGTATGCGAAAGGTGAGGTCCTTCACCCATGAACTTAGAGGCTTGAGAGATGGATACGCTGCAGTGGCCCACATACTTGGAACCTGCAGACAGAGCAAGATCTGAGTGAGTGAAGATAATCTTCAATCCTGGGTCAGACCTGGTTGTTGAGAAAGCTTGTGTAGACCCTCTCCAGCTCTTCTGACATTACCACTAGACCCTTGATGGCCTTCTGAATGTTCCTTAGTGAGTCCTTCATGATAAGAAAATGGCTCCGAATGAAATACAGTAGTGTGTTGCAGTCTGTCTCACCTTGAGAACTTTGAGGAGGTTGTTGAATCTGTCAACCTCTTGGCTTAGAACAGTTGATAGTGAGTTGATCTGCCCTTTCTCATCTGCCTACAATTGCAGAGAACATCTTGCAGTACACTAATCCTGGGAAAACACGCACTGTTCCTTTAAGATTTTTGTATATAGCACTGAAATGATGCAGAAGCTAGAGGAGCATGCAAACCTCAAAGAGAGATGGAAGAGCTATATCAAGGTCAAGTTTCTCGGGAATTTTCTGCAGGATGCTTTCAGCTAGATCGTAGACTATCTCGTCATTGGTCTTGCCTCCTCCACTGCTGGCCGTGCGAGGCTGCACCTCCAGAATTGTGCTCACCAAGTTGTGTGTCTCTTGAGTCTGTGCAAAACATGAGGCAATTGAACATTTTTCAAGGATGCTGCAAATGACATGTCCTTGGCATGATCACGCTAGGAAAGACCTGATGCTTAGTACTAACCTGGACAGGTACCCAAATACAACTGAAGGCATACCAAGATTACTAGTCAGATGCTGGATTACCTGAAAAGCAATGTTGGCATTTTCGTGCATCCCAAATATCTCGGGCTCGTCGTTGAATGGCAGGCTCTCTATGTAGTCTCTGTAGGCCTGGATGGTCTCGGCTTCAGGGGCATAGTAGACCCCAGAGTAAGAATACTTGTAGTCCTCCTCCAGAGTGTTGGGAGAAAAGAACCGCTTGAGGATCGTCCTCAGGCAGCGCTGGTCCCAGGCATCGGTGACCCTGCCACCATATGTGATCTACAGTGTGTGCGTATGAATGCACAATTACACTATGGTTTATGCTGAGGTCTAGGCCATGTAGGTGTACAGATAATTGTGGCGATGTAGTCATCTATTGTGGGCTTGGCCACTATTGATAACTGAGAAATAGAAACCTACAGATGCCTGCTATCCCACAGTCTACCTCTCCAGTGATGAAAGTGAGAGCGTCCCACGGTATAGAGCCATCTTCCAGGAAGATCCTGAGATTGTCCAGAGCACACTCTCTGTCTGAGTCATTGAACTCATACTGTATGCATAGACAGATGGAGCAGTTCAGAAGATGGCAGTAGTTGTGTTATGGCTCAAGATACGTGAAGGAAGGGTTTCGCTTAGTATACCTTGATGTTCCAGCCAAGTGGACCGAACTTCTTCCTCTCTTGGATGATGGCGTGAAAGAAGCACAGCCCAAACACCAATCTCCTCCATGTCACTCCAAGTACTGCATGTACACAGAATCAGTGGCAGAGATGCAAGGTATTTCTGTGCTCCTTACAATGGTCTTCAATGAATGATGGCTGGAACTCAGTATATGCTCTTCTTACATTGGTACGAAGTCCTGAAATGAGGAGAAAAAACATGTGCATAAGTGCACATATTAAAGTGACTGGTGCTATTTTACCTTTTGGTGGTTCATTGGTGACCTTGGCTGAGTTCTGAAGGACAGAGACGGGGAAGCATTTGTCGGGCATGGAAGAGAGGAAGAGACGGAAGTCGCTGTGGATGACTGCATCCGGTGCTGAGAACCCCTTCACTACTGCCTCTAGTGCCAACATCCACGATGCAGCAAGATGACAGTTCTATAGGTTTATGTAAGGATTGACAAATGGAGTGAGTGGTTTGAGGCCAAACACAAACACTTATGAAACATCTATGTACTAATAATGTGAGAACGAAGTGGAAAAGGTTCATACATTAGTCTAGCTATAAGTGCTAGATGAATTTAAAAGAGGGGATGGATAATGAAAGAAAAGGTGGTTCTGACCTGTAGGAATACCCAGTCACCAGAACTGGTGGCAGCAGATATCAATTTCTCTGCCACCGGGCCTTGCCCTTGTCCAAGAGATATGGAGTGAATCCTACAATGAGAAGTGACCAATGAGATCTAGCTTGGTGGTGGTTATTTGCCAGCTGGTTGGTCAAGTGTGACCAGAACACTACTACGATCTATTGTTACAAGGCTTTGTGTGTTGTACTACCTCTCAGAGTAGCCCATCTCCTTGGCAAAGCGGAGGAAGCTGCTCATGGGGTCAGAGCCAGAGGAGAGGACAAACACGAGGGGAGTGGTGTTGGACATGTCCTCATAGAGAGTGGCCAGAGCTACTGGAGGACTCTCCACAAACTGTGGACCAAGGTTGCTGGAGACAAAGTCAACTGTAGCAAACACCACCTGAGGTGAACAGTAGAAATTTCCTATGAGACTCAGCACCACAACTTCCTTAGATACTGTGGTATATTCTTTGTGAGCTGAGCTACAGTACTACGTGTTCACCTTCTCTTCCTTGAAGGTTCTGACCATAATCAGTTGATGAAACTCTGAGAGCCGTTCGTACCAGTGGCCGACGAGAGGAGTATTCTCCGTTTGTGGCGGTGACTCAGATGTGTCTTCAGTTGAAGAGGTTGGAGGTGGAGGGTTGGGGTCCGTGTAACCATCCCAATCCACTGGATTAACATTGACCTTGAGGGATAGTATTGAGTGCAGTTATGTATTTACTATGAGCAAAGCCATTGAACATGAAAGAGCTATGAAGCAGAATGGAAAGTAGACAACTCTGTCTTCAATGAGTGTAGGTGCTAACCTCAATTCTGCCTGCTTTGCAGTGGACAGGAGTGGCAATTATGTCAGACGTAAGCCCCTTGAACACAGGTAGTGCATCTTCCAGGTCACAGCATGTGTTCCACAGGGCAGTGGTCAACCAGGGTACATCTGGCTTCTCAGGACGCTCCTGAAATTCAAAATGCGCAATCCTGACACAGCTCAGCTCTACTCCAAGAATTAGGCTAATGGTCAAATGAGCGCCCCCTTTTAAGTGCCGCCTACACTATGTAGCTACCTTGTCAGCTCTTGAAGGTCCTCTGAGAAAGAAGTTCCACTCTGCATCGGAGATTTGGCCGGCTTGTTTCAATATTTCCCCACACAGCATGAAGGAGAAGACCAGCTTATCCTTCTCAAACAGACCTCTGCAAGAAATATTGGCACTATTTTAAGGAGCTGCTCAAAATCCAAACAGCCTACAGCTGGACTGCCTCACAGTCGATATGCGTACCATCCAAGAAGCTATGGAGCATTTGCATGCTTACCTGGCCACATTGGTGTAGACGGAGCTGGTGATGTTTCGCAGTAGAGTGGCTAGTCTCACTTCCAGGTCGGGCGATGGCTCACTCTGCTCTATACAGCTGTTGAACAGTTGGTTGAAGTACTTCAGTGAGTACTGGTACATAGGGTCCACATCTCCCAGTACTGCCACCACAAAATACATCACCGAGCCTCGGGTGGCCACCTTCCTGTACTTCTCACGGGCAGTCGAGATCTGCAACTCAGTCTGTTCAGCTTCTGCCAGTCTCTTTGATATTTGGGCTGAAGTGAGCTGTATTGGGGAAAACAGAGACGAACAACTTATTCCCTGTCTCACTGAGGGAAAGTTTTATCTGCACCTTTGATGCATCGAGAGTTTGAATGAGTTTTCCATCATCCAGAATGTTGCCTTTAGACTCAAAGAGAAGCTTCAAAATAGTGTCTTCGATACTCTGTCAAGAGAATGACAATAAGCATACTGTTAGGTGGATGTTCCCGTGCGAGACCTTCAGTTCTGTCTTGGCTTTGTTGATGTTCACAATGAGCTCATTTCTCTGCTGCTCAAGATCAGGTCTCTCCAGTCTCACTACATCACTGTATAATATAAATCAACGGTTAACAAAAAGCGAAGCATGGTATTATATCAGGTACTGGACTCTACCAGATCGGGGTAAGATGTGTGGCGTTACTCTCACCTTAGTAGCTGGTCCTCCAGGCCTGATTTGGTGACTGTGAAATTGATGATGGTCACTTTGATGCACACCTCTGGCAGGTAGTGTGGGTTGGACAGCTTCGATGTCATATAAAACCTGAGTATATCACACAGGACAGAGATCTGGAAAGCACATGTGCATCTAGTATACGTATGTCTACTTGAAGTTTTTGTCATAGTCGATGTCACTGTCTCCCAGTCTGATGAGGAGCCTTCCTCCCTGCATGAATGTCTGCTTCAGCAGCACTGGCTCCAGGGATGGGTCAAGAGTCTCCTCAACCTATAATTCGTCATATGCACATGTGAATACTATGGGGTCAACCCTGAATCTAAACCCGGCCACATTCTACCAACATCAAACACGGTTCATTTCCTATGTGAATGGGGTCCAACGTGTGTACACTGTTCTTTGCTCACCTCCTCTAGTAGTACTGGAGTTCCTATGCGAATGGCGTTCTCCAGGGTACGGAGGAAGTTTGGATCCGTGAGTTTGATCACTTTGAGGCCGTTTCGACCCTCCATCGAACGAATCCATCGGTTGGCCTGGACACATAGTTATATAGAGAGAGTGTTTTCAGTTGACTGAGTTCAGTGTATTATACGGTAATGGTAAGCCAGACTGGTTTCAAATGTAGTGTATGCAGTGATCACCCTAAAGGATCCTAATGTAGCTGTACCTGTTCTTGAGGGTCAATCATCAGTGGCCACCTCCTGCCCCTCGTGACCAGCACAGCATTTTCAGTGGAGACTGAATCACGTGGCAGACCGTACTGGTTCCACTGACGGATCTCGTAAGGGTCTGCGAGAGTGTTGGTGACCGTGAAATCACTTGATATTGGGATCTCAAGCTCTCCACACTGGTTTATCCAACTGGCCACCAGCTAAGGAAAAGAGGGGAAAATCACAGATGTTCACACCAGTTTGTTGGACCGCTGGTATTGTACCTTCTCCCTGTAGACGTTGGTGAAGGCTCCACAATATGCCACACAAGCAGCGGCCACAAACACATCTCCTGCCACATTGTTTACTTCTGTGTCCAGCCTCTGTGCAAAACAGCCACACCACACATGCGTAAACCACTCTAGCACAGATGTTAAAACACATAGTTTTGGAAGGCTGGGGCTATAGAAGTATGGGCTCTGCAAGCTTCGATAAGTCATTTTGGTTGCACAGCTAGAACCATTATGCTGCCTAGCTAACCGTGACAGTCTCTGCCCATCTGATCTGTTCATCAGCGAGACCAGTGGTGAGTTTGGCAGCTCTGTCAAGCCTGGCCTGGGTCTTTTCAATGTTCGTGGTCAGCTCTTCCTTTTCTGCAACACTGCGCTCATAGCTGGCCTGCAGATCTGCAATCTAATGGAACCATGTATAAGAGACATCACAGGAGAGATGCATAGCATTCATGGTTAATATCAGAGAATATGTATTATACCTTTGCCTCAATGGATGCTAGTTTCTCTTGTTTCTCCTTCAGCTGAGCCATCACTTTGGCCAGTTCGTCCTGAGCTCCATTCAACCTAAACACCAATCAATCCATCAGCAATCAGACATCGAACTACATAAGAGTCGTCATACTTTTCTCTTTTTGGTTCCACGGTACGGAAGACCTTGGCATAGAGGTCCAGTGCCCTCACCCACAGACACATGGACTTGCAGGCTCGCGAAGTCTTCTCCACAGTCTCTGGCACAAACTTTGGATTCTCAATGTATTTCTTGAGCTTCTTCAGCATCGACTCTGAAATCTTGTCCTGAACAGTGCATTGAATGATTTTATTCACATTCGTTCTACCACCTTGAGTTCACTTAGACAGTGGAGAGAATGGAAATGATCAGCTTCGTCAAGAGTCAAACCCAGGCCTCGCCCAGTCACTAAGCACCGAGATTCAACCCTTAGGCTAGGTTCACAATAATATGTTGCATTGCCCCATCACGCTGTGCCGGGTCCATTTCTATCTTTGCGGCAGGCCGGACACGAAGGGGCAATGCAATATTATTATTGTGAACCTATATAGCCTTAGACTAAAGCAATGCTGAGCATTGAGTGGTTTTTACCTGTCCCACATGCAGCACGATCCATACCTTATCATAGTCAATCATCTTCTTCATGAGACCAGTGTCTCCCAGTAGAGTCTTAGCCGAGGGCCAGTCTGGCCTAGTGTTGAACAGTATACAGATGGCCTCCATCACTGTGGCCACTAGCTCGGGAGGCTTGCTGAAGACCCTGATCTCGGCTATGTCACTCTTGTCCAGTGCATCCAGGGCCTGTGTACAAGAAACAAAATTGCAGCATTACAAAGCCTTTTGCATGTAGTTCTATAGCACAGTTTTCCTATTTAAAGTATCTAGTTTGTAGAGTACGTGTGAGGGTACCTACTTTGTTGGCGGCTTGCAGTGCTGGCAAAGCTTGGTCCAAGTCCTTCTGAGCATCATCAGCAATAGCCTTAGTCTCTTCTGCTTTCTTGTTGGCCACAGCCTCTTCCTGCACCACCACTGTACGCACCTGGAGAGGGATAGAAAGATGAGAAGAGTAAAACAATAGTAGGAAGAAGAGTGAAAGAAGGTTACTTGAGCTTCCTCATCCTCTGACCTGGGTGGCTTGTTCCTGGTCAACAGAGAGCCTCTGCATGAGTTCCTCAGTTTCCTTTGACTTCTGCTTCAGCTCTGGTTCTAAGGCTGTCAGCTCTTCCTGCATACCTTTCACCTGCACACACAGACCATCATGCCATGCTCAACATAGACCACGCACTTAGCTCAAATTGTTTCATGTGCCTTCGGTGGAGAAACCTAATTGTCGTGCTATCCGTATGGACTAGGCTCTGATATTTCATACGTAACCCCTTGGTACGCAAAGGTTTGGTGTTACCTGCTCATTTGTCTCTAAGATCTTCTTCAGACCAGTTGCAATGCGGTTGCGTGAGTTCACAAGTTGCCTGCAAACAAAAGGACCAATACCACAGAGAGTACAGAACGTCACACTAACTTCCTCTTTATCTTGAGCATGGACAGGTAGAGGTTGATTAGCTCGAGGTAGGAAGTGGGTGTGGTGTAGTAGCGTCTCCTCAACTCTGCGTAGAAAACGTCGGCCATGTCTCGAACCCCCGTGTGTACCTCCACACACATCTTAGCCAGTGGTTCCTGTAACACAGGTGACGGGTGGTAAAGTGGGATACTGTAGGGTATTGAGTGAAATACCTTTACACTCTCATTTCCTAAGTCTTCGTTCTCAAAGAAAGTCTGTGCAACTGATAACAAAGCCTCCCTGAATAGATCAATTAGAACCGACATTATAGGCAAATATCATAGCGATCATTATGGGGCTTACTTTGGCCATTCTGTAAACCAATCAATGGTGCAGCAGTTGACGAGTGAAGGGAACATGCGGCATCTTGAACGGAAGGCATCTCCCACAGGACTCATGCACAGAACAATGTGCAGCTTGTCTTGAACACAGGTTATGAAGTGGGCAAAAATGCCATCCCTAAAGGAAAGAAGCGGAAGAGTGTGTCCATCTGCCCCTTACACTGGGGGGGCACTGGTAAATACAGCATTCCTGAAGCCATGCTCAGTGCTCCTTGGCGCAGTCGGCAGCGCGTCAGTCTCATAATCTGAAGGTCGTGAGTTCGAGCCTCACAGGTGGCACATTTTTTCTCACTTTTCTTGTCCTTTTTACCCTTTTTAACTGTTTTTTTTACAACTTTCCCCATTCCCCCCATCCCTTTATTCAACTTTTCCCGTTTCCCCTCATTTCTCCCCATTCCTTTATTACTGTGTATACCTGTCCCCTTCAGCAATTCCATGTTCTTTGGCTTTTGGTCTGACTTGAGCTATGATCTGTTCATATTCATCTGCTGGGAAGAGGTTAGGGACTTCTCCAGAGTTCAACATGTTGTTGATGTCCTCCAGGAATTCTTCAACTACAATCTGAAAGTAAAGCAACCAAATTTGTGAAAAACCATGAGAATTACATGCCCGAATGTTTGGCGCTTTAATGCTGCAAAATCTTCCATAATGTATACCTGTGTATCAGTGAATAAGAAGACAGTGTTCTCGTCCTTGACACCAGTCATTACGTAGAGCTTCTTCAAGTCCTCGTGGAAAGTCTCGTAGTTGTAGCCACGAGTTAGCTCAATCTGGAAGCACTTGTAGCCGCACATGTGAGCAGCGAGTCGCGTGAGACTCTGTTTCCCAGTTCCTCCTACTCCGACCAAGAGCGCGTTGCCACGAGGCTGCCGCACCATCCGCGCTATCCTGTGGGGTCAGTGGTCATATAATATGTACAACATAGTATACTGTGGAGGTTTATGAAATTACCGTGAAACATGCTGCATGGCATCCATAAAGAACACAAGCTTCATTTCCTTGGAGGAGCTCATATTGAAATCATCAAGGTACTGTGTAAAAAGAACAGCAAATTATTTTTTTAATTATTGCTGAGGCAGATGTTGCACCTCATTCAAGACATTTCTGATCTTCTTCATGTCCGCCAGTTCCTCGTACAGTCGATCAGATGGGTCGGCCCCCACTTTGATGAAGTCTCCAAAGATGATTGGACTAGTTTCAAACTTCTCCACGCTCACTTCCTACAAACACCCATTCGTACACACGACACATTTCTTGGCTTAAGTGGGCATCATACATACATGGAGTACACACTTGCTTCATATTTCCATATTCCATATACATACAGAAAAATTTACATTAGCTGATACCCCAAATAAACACTAATGTTCTCAACACAGGATGTGTGATACAGACCTTTGAGAAGTGCTTGGAGGACATCTCGGAGAGCATTCCGTAGAAGTAGGTCTTGTCTTCTTTGTTGATGAGTCTGTCGTGGAAGACTCGCTGGGCCTCGTGGCAGTAGAGACGGAAAATCTGGTCATGCTCGCGAATGACCCCGGGATCTGCCTGGAGCACTCCTGCAATACCAACGTAACATTGTGATTGAATGTATATCAGTGCTAGGTAGCCATGATACTCCAATGCCTTGGACTATGTGTGTGTAGCACAGCAAGGAGGAAGTTCAACTTTTTTACTCAACCATTTCCTAATCATTTAGTGACCCAAACTCTGTCCTTAAGCAGGAAAATTTGGGTCTTCTGATGGTACTATTTTTTGGGTCTTCTTTGCCGAGAGTGAACTATTGGGAATGCGGGTCTTCTTCTGATAGCAACCTAGGACTATTTTTTTGAAATGTGGGTCTTCTTTGCCCTTAGGTGTATCATTGGGAATTCATGTCTTCTTGGTCGATAGTGACCAGGAGACACACATTTTTGTGGGCTATTGACCCTGAATGAGCTATGTGGGTCTTCTAGAGTGGGTCCTTTACTGACCGTGGAGGCATTTTGTGTGCCTTCCTGCTAATGAAGACTAATTACTGACCCTGAATGATATTATATACACATACATACTTCTTTATAATAGACTGACCCTGGATGCATTTGGAAAGGTCTCTGAGGTTGAAAATGTAGTGAGACTTGGCGGGAGTGGGCAGCAGGTCTGTACTCATCCGGCCATATATCTCAACACTGCAGTGAACACATGACACATGGGCAGTGGGTATATACATACACTCAATGAGACATAATGCAGTACCTGGCTCTAACTATGGACTCTGCTGCATCCTTGACTGGTTGTGGAAACTCGGCAAAGAATCCTTTTGTGATGGCCTGTTGAAAATACAATCGTGAGCAATACCCCATGAAATTAAAAAGGCTTCCTTATTGCATTTTGGGGAAAGAAAATCTCATTTCAGTATCGTTCTAATGTAGTAGAGTGTACTAGTATACAGCATACTGTGAAGATGGCAGTGAGGGATATCTCAGCAGGACGGACGAGGGAGAAAATGGCAAAGTGTCGCAGGAATCGAGGGGTCACAGGGTTTCGTCCACCACCGGGAGGAGCACACGCAGCACAGATTGTCACATCCTAGTCAAACACACACAAAATGGGCAAAGTGGATACAAACGTACATACTGTACTAGTGTATAATATACTTGGATCTGCTTCCAGAAAAGCTTTTCTCTGTCGTAGAATCCTCGGAAATCTTGGTATTGTCGCAGCAACTCGATGGGTGGCTGAGAGCCATAGGTGTCCAGTTTTGGCATGTTCAGATCATCAACAAATATCACCACTTTTTTTCCCGTTGGTGCACCTGAATATTCACAATGTACTTACATACATATATTGATCACAACACCGAATTCGGCCATTCTGCCTCAAATTTGTTGTTGAAGTCTATACGTGGTTGCATATGCCTCACCGAGTATTGTTTTTCTCTTCTTCTCGAGTTTGCCTTCAATGATCTCCTGTGTTCGGCCACTGCTGGTCTGAGCCGAGAAGTTTATGATGACAGGCACCAGATCTCCCTTTTCTTGCAGGCTGTTCAGGAGCCCCTTTGCTATCACAGACTGTTTGTTATGTAGCAGTGTGTGAGAAGGACAAAGAGTGTTAAGAGTGGCTACTGAAAAGGCAATGTAAAGAGTGACACTCTTTTGAGAGTTTGTTGAAAAGAACAAAGTAACGTCAGTATCGACAGCTGCCTCCTTGGCGCAGTCGGCAGCGCGTCAGTCTCATAATCTGAAGGTCGTGAGTTCGAGCCTCACAGGTGGCACTTTTTTCCTATTTATTTGGATCTACTGCCGTTCCCAGCTCTCCGTGCGCACAATGAACTGTGCTCATGGAGAGAGGGACCCTGGGAATGAGGCTTGCTCTATAAGTGTTTTTTTCAGCCCACCTTTCCCACTCCGGTGGTTCCTGTGAAGAGCACTGAGTGTCCAACGTCCAGCAGTTTTTCCATCAGAAGCCCATACCGCTTTGTGTCGATCGTTGGAACCAAGATATCGAAGAATGGAGTCTGCGGAAGGTTGGACATTCTTCCACACATTCATTCGTGCAATGATCTATGATACCGGTGTGTGCATGTTCACAACGGTAATGTGCTATACCTCTGGATTATATGTAAAGGGAGGAATGACTTTCTCCCAGTTCTCTAGTCTGCGAGTCTCACAATCCACATAGTAGCTGTACAGATCACCTGCTCCTGGAAGCTGTATACATAAAACGTAAACGTGTGTTTTAGTAGGATCCATTGTTTGTAGCCTTCATTTTCAGTCTTATGCTAAAATTTGTGTGTGTGTGTGTGCATACATAGTGTACTGTATGCAACCCTGAACTGTAGCTAGTTGGCAGCAAAATAGGCAGCTAAACTGTGCAGGATTTTTATGGGAGGAAAATTGAGGCAAGAAATACATGCTACCTACGTGACGTTTTGAGCATACGTACCTTCACATCCTGGTTTTCTCCAAAAAGGTCCCGACAGAAGGTATCAAACTTGTCCATGGATTTCTCAACCAGGTTGCCTCCGAGACACCACACGTAGCAAAACACAAAGCAGGTACAGATCAGGGGGTGGAGCTTCTCAGTGCCCATGGAGATGTCCAGGTTGCTATGGGGACCAACGAGGAGGGATTGAAGGAGAGAGCAGAGTGCCTGTACTCTGCCCATGATTGACTGGAAGGAAGTATACAGTTTGGTTCATTAGAGAGTACTATTGATTACTAACAGTTGGTCATGCATTAAGATAACTTAATTTTACTTTAGGCCAATTATTATTGTGCTGGTCGGCATAGGGCAGAGAACAACTATTGCTGACATTGAAACGTTGATTTTGGCAGTAGTAAATGCAACACATTAATGCAAAAATACTTCTCCATTCTCTCCTTCACTCACTTGGTTCATAGTCTGAACAGTCTGTTTCCTGAGGAACTTGAGCCCAGCGTCGATGTAGCTATCAAACAGTCCCAACATGTAGCCTCTGGTGGCATCGGTCATCTTGCCAGGCATCTGTCTCTTCATCCATGTCTGGACGTAAGGTCGCCAGCCGAGGTCTCCTGGATCCAGATATACCATGCCACAGCGACTGACAGTGGCTGGGGAGGCGACGGCCAAGTCTTGGACTTCGAACATCATGTGCATTGATGGCGTGAGCTTGATCCGCTCGCTGTTGGCCATGCACAGCATCTTGTTGTCGTCCAGTACAGTGTTCATGTTCTCTATCCAGAGAGCGTCGACTGGGCCGTCGCAGACGATCCACTTGTGGTCCTCCGTGGTGTCCTTGACACACTGTCTCACAAGGGCGGCCATCAGTCCATCTCTCCACTCCAAAGTGAGTTTGTTGACCTCTCCGTACAACTCTCCCATAGTTATGGCCTTTAAGAGAAAGAGGTCATGGTCAAAAATGTAGCGCAATTCTAACTCCAAACAAACAGAGGGTCCATAATAAATAATGGCATTTTAAAACCTTCACATAATACAACCATACTTAATTCTTGACCCAACTCAAAATAGAGGGTGCACAGTAAGTAGCATTTTGTTTTTGCTCCAAGCAAGAAGTGCTCTGTAATTTTCAGGGAGTAAAGGAGCAACCTATAATGGACACTATTCATGTGAGATTTGAAATGCATACTGTTGCAGTGTGGTGCCATGTTACCTGAGCCCTTACAGGACAAACAACCACAATACTGTACAAATACTGTTGTCACCCTGATTGTTGTCATGCACCGTTCACCACAGCCCTGTCACTCTGTCTCCCTTGCCATCTATACAAGTAATCGCTGTAACCTATGATCAGAGCTTCCATACTGACTTGAGCACCCCTATTGAACTGCTGCTGCCAGCGATAGCCCTGCTACAATACTAAAGTACCTTAGGGTTGAGGACGTATGTGTGGACAGGCTGATAGTAGTAGTACTGGTGCCCGTCTTTGTGGAGATTGAAGAGGGCTTCCTTCAGGATCTCGTAGATGGTCGTTTTCCCACCTCCGGTAGGACCCACACACATGAGTCCATGGCGTACCAGTTGAGTCTCGTACAACTGGATCACCTTACGAATCTGCAACGGTGTTACATACGAGAGTCAGTAGCTCCATTATAGTATGGGACACCACCCTACATTGCATGCTGTGTCAACCAACTGCAGATTGTGCAAACTGTTGTCATATACGTACGCATGCCGAAAAACTGCTACATATGCAGGGAGTTTCTGAGTGCAGTAATGTGCAAATCACTAGTTCCTGCAACTAATGAGTGTAACTGCGTGGATTAAAGTATACATTAGCTGCATGAAGGTATTAGACCATATGTACATCAAGGCACAGACCTGAGCAGGTATGACTTGCAGTCCCTTTGCACTGGCGGCATTCTCAATGGCTGTCTGTAGCACTCCGTAGTCATGTTCTGGTAGAGTCACTCCCGGGAACAGATCACTCAGAATACCCTATGTATCACAACAGGTACTGTTACTTATTGAGTGTATATAGAGTGTGCGTAGACAGTGTATTGAGAGTGGCAGGCTATGCGAGTGCCTCCTTGGCGCAGTCAGCAGCGTGTCAGTCTCATAATCTGAAGGTCGTGAGTTCGAGCCTCACAGGTGGCAATTTTTCTTTTTCACACTTTCTTGCACAACACCAAATCCATCGTGCTGCTAGCTGACCTTGAAAAGGATGGCATCGTCAGCAAGGAACTTTGGCAGGTTGCTGTCCCTGAGGGCTCGGATGAGCACCAGGTCCTCCTGAATCTCAGGATTCTCTCTCTTCAACTGACCTGCCATCACCAACACCTGCACAGCAAACCATGTGTATACAGTAGTTCTGTAAGATATTAGTGGGTGGACTTAGTTCCGCTTACCAAATGCTGTGCGCATGCGCACGCTGTCTCGCGCGCGCTCGCGGCGGCGCGGCGGCAACCGGCAATCTCCTATAAACTGAACCAAATGCTTCTCTGCCTACTATACAATGTTTGAAGGTTGAAGTTTGCAAGGCTTCTTGGGGAAGTTTTATCCAGGAAACTTAGTGGGAATCCCTTGTACAGCAATCTGCAAAAGTGAGAACTTTTGATTCAAGAAAGGTTTTCCCCCCAAAACCTCCGCACTTTACCGTATGTCAACAGGTAGGTGTTTCGTTGTGAGTGTTTAACAGCTAAAGGTTACTGACCGACTTGACGGCCCTCATGCCAAAGTCGTAGTGGTCCTGCTGAGAGAGCTGCTCACTGCAGAGCTTGTACATCTGAGTCATCTTGCGGGCCAGATTCTTGGAGGACTCGAACCCCTCAGAATAGAGGATAACCTCTGCAATTAGGGCTGTGGGGAAGTATGGAAGTCACTAGATTTACATTCTTGTACATGAAGCCATCCATGCCAGCACTTACGTATACATTGTACGTGTAACTCATGTACATAGCTCCTTGATAACTCACCATAATCAGGAACCATCATGGCAAAAGGGCGGAACAGAGCCTTCAGGTTGTCAGGCAGCTCCGTCCGTCCAGCGTAGCCAGGATTCATTGTGATGAAGGCAGCACATGTTGGCACCAACTTGATCTCCCTCCCCTCAAACATGAACATCTTAGCCTGTTGGAGCCAGCAAATTCCTCTTACATAATATGTATACATATTGTGTATGGGGCTATGGGTGCTGTTTGCAAGTTAAGATTATTTTCGTCCAGGGTCGGCTATCAGCTCCATAATTATACAGAGCATGATCACTTGTTCTGCAGTGAAAGCCATGAGTATGGCTGCATTATGGAGCTGCTACTTTATAGTGACCTTGGCTTGTTTGGCCTTCATGATAGTGAGCAACTGCTGGGCAATGACAGACAACACCTCAATGTTGATTCTGTTGAACTCATCGAAGCAGCACCAGGCGCCTGACTGGGCCAGGCCTGAGAAGAAACGACCCATCATCTGCAGGAGAGAATGAGACAGATCATTGTAGTCATGTATCTACTAAAGGTGTATTCCAATCCCACAGATGCAAACGCACACTCATTATGTGCTTATACGCATTAGTATGTAGTAGAAAAGTAACTCGGACAGGAAATTGTTTGTGGATATGTGTAGTTACACAATTTGTGGGATTGAAAAGGCAGTGGATTATCCTCACCAAGTAATCGATGCCTTCAGAGCAGTTGAACACCACACACTGCTTGGCCAGGGCCTTTGCAAGGTCCTTGACTGTCTCGGTCTTGCCTGTGCCAGCTGGACCTGCGGGGGCTCCTCCCAGGTCTAGCTGGAGTGCACCCATCAGACACAGGTAGCAGCGATCCTGGGAGAAATGGTCGGGGAAAGGAGAAGAGGCATGTATCTAGTAGGATTGTGTTTTCAGCAGGTGCCTCCTTGGCGCAGTCGGCAGCGCGTCAGTCTCATAATCTGAAGGTCGTGAGTTCGAGCCTCACAGGTGGCACTTTTTTTCATTTTTGTGAGCTCCTTACTTTACTGAGTACTGCGTTACTCATGACACTTGTAAGGGAATGCGGATAGAGGAAGAAGAGAGATTTCTAACTTGGCTTCCAAATTGCCATACCTCACCATAAACCAGGAAATGCTAGTAGAGTGCAGCAGCACTGTTTGGAATGCATTCCATGCAGGTTTCATATAAACATTGTGGTTAATCTCCCAACCACAGGAAAAAACAATTGACATGCATAATGGTGTGTGATTACATGACTCATGCCAAGACAGGATATACAAACAAGGTTGTATGCTCTGGTTTCATCAGAGGAAATGGGGATGCCATATAGTTGCAGACTTTAGGGTTTCTGATAGGCGAGTTGGCAATTTCAAATGTATGCAGATGCCCAATCACGAGCTACTAAGGTGCGGTGTAAAGGGTTGGGTGGGCAGGCAGTCCTTGGTATGCTTGTACAGTTGCAACCACCACCGTTGATACTGACAAAAACACTATTTTTCCGGCTATTGTGTGTGACGCAGACTCACGGTGAGAGGAGTGATGACCAGACGAGGGGAGGCTCCCAGGTACTCGTAGCCATAGATGTAGTGAGAGTTGGAGGCTCTGATGAGACAGTTGTCCAGATCCGTGTCCCAGTAGTAGCGGAGGTTCTTCACCCACTCAAAATCTTGGGGCCCACTCACCTACATAACATGTTGATGTAACATACGTAATGTTTGTATCAGGGATGGTACGTATAAGTATAAACCAGTGGTTTTCAATCAGGGCAGGCAGCAACAAGACAGGGGTGGCCAGGAATGTGCAAAATTTAGGTAGTGATTCATTTCCACGAATCCAGCTTGTTGGGTCACTGTGACATGGTTCTGAGAAACTGATTAACCTTATCAGCCAGCTGTTTGTTTGGCTGGCAACAGCAGCACAACTCGCTGATTGCAATGTTTACTGGTAGAATACGTACATACTGAAATAAAACGGAATGTGTTTGGGTTTAAAACCCAGAAACCCAGACCCGCCAAACTTGCAAACATTAGGACCAGCCATGGTTGCACATTGATGTCCCCCTCATAAGTACTGCAGGTGTACCGTAACTACGCTAGACGCATTGATTGTGAGTAGCTTTTTATCTCAGTTGTGTCTACTTTTCCACTTAGTCTGCTATAACGGCCGCAATAGCGTCTACAAATATTGCGCAAGGATGAGTTAAGATAATGTATATGCATCCTCCCTAATGCTGAACCTATTCCATTGTGCACATTGTGATTGTGTGGGGGTTGAATCCGTAATCAGAATCCCTGCAGAGCCATGATACATACTAGTGGAATGCAACGCATTGTTGGCGAGCGAGCGCAAGCAGTTCAATATTTCGCGCGTATTTTAAAATCATGTAGTACAGTGCCCGACAAAGCCAGTCACATTATTTTTTTATTATAGAAATTGAAGTTCTCGCATTGAAACGACTAGGTATATAGGTTCGCATCGCTTGCCAATTATAAATAAAAATACGTACAGACCTCATTGGTGACCATCTGAGTGACAATGTCTCTGGCGTGGACGTCAATTGTGATGAGGGCACCAATCACTCTCCGACTCAACCTTGGCATCTCTCCTCGCACCAGCTCTGCCAGCTTGTTCAGGTTCTGTGGGGTGCCAATAGAAGATTTCCCACATTTCTTCTCTTCGACCAGTGAATGAGTGAACCAAGTGAGCCATTTACATGTATGTACATATCGTATAGCAAATATTTCATGGTTTTTCAGTAAATTTGTGAAGAAGAACATCACAAATTGTCTCGCCACAATACAAGAATGTCCCGCCCAAAAAATTAAACGGAGAAAATTTCATGGATGGCCATGAAATCTTCAAATTGTAAGTCTCCTATTATTACTATAAAGTAAATTCCTCCAGTAGAGAGCTTTGCCATTATATGACAATCGAAAGAGTTTTGACGTTCACACTAATTGCTTTTGCTCGATAGCACAATACAACACATTATATTCAAGTAATAGATGCATACCTGGATACACCTGTTTTCAGCTTGTTTGACTTCTTCAACGACGCTGCCTTCGGTGGTCGTGAGGCACTCTGTCAGATCACGGCACCACATGATCTGAGACACTGTCAGCACCACCTGCAGCAGCAGCAGCAGCAGGCAAACAGTCAGCCAATTCAAGTTTGGGATTATACACACCCTGGCATTATGAATACATTATGCGAAACAGAAGTGTCTACATATGCATGGTCAGACTGGCTAACATGCACAGGTTCATTAACGCTACATTCATAAGTGAAAACAAGGCAAGTGCAAAGCAAACTACTCTCAGCACAACACTTCATAGAAAGGCTGCTGCCTCGGGTGGGACTCATACACCAGCAGCTAAATACCAACCAACGTACATTGTGCAAATTGTTGTGTGACACAAAAGCTCTATGTAAAATGTTGGCCACGCTGAGTGTACGTGTGTGGTTGTGTACCTGACTGGCATGCTGGGTGGCCCAGATGTGGCGAGGTTTCTCCTCAAAGTCGGCGAGAGCTGCCTTGGTTAGCTTGCGGAGAGAGACGACCATGGAATCCTCCACCAGACCCAGCCAGTTCTCCACATTCCCTCGAGCCTTCACTTGCTGCAGGCACAGACCGTGCAAACATCATGCCAGTGAAGGATGTGAACAAGGCTGGCTCACCTTCTGCAAGGTAACGACCTCCTTCTCAGGGGACACCATGGACAGGATGTCATTGGTGGTGATGGGTGGGGCACCAGGCTCTGGCGAGGGAGTGGTCCCAAATTCAAGGCTAGAGATGAAAAGGTCATCGCATTAGTAAATTACACACCAGACTCCCATGTCTTTCCAAATGCTGGTACGTATGAACTCAAAATCACAGTGAGAAGAGGCACCAATACAGTGAAGGCTATCGCTTTTAAAGGATATCTGGCAGAGCCTTCTGCAGATACAATTTGTTCTCACACACACACATACATGCACGAGACACGCAGTGTGAAAATGAAGGAACAAATTTCTTCCCAACGAAAAACTGTTATACGGTGAACAGTAACCTATACCTGGCAATGGCATCGAAGCACTTGCGGAGGTGAGGCTGGACGGCCTGGGGGTTCCTGGTCTGTGAGAGTATCTCCAGGAGCTCGTCGTTGGAGAGGAAGTAGAACCGTGAGAAGAGGAGTCTCTTCTGCTCCAGGTAGTCCTCCAGACACTTCTGGATCTGCTCCAGAAGACTGTTGTTGTTCTTGAACGTGTCCAACAGACCTGTGTGCATATATACGTATGCCATTGATGGTCAGGCAGACACACCAAATGTATCAAATATTCAGTGGTTATTCGCAGTGGGTGGTGACAGCAAAGGTTTTGTTGATGGATGTGGAACTCGAGTATGTAAAGTTGCACACAAGTAAGTAATCTAGTGTACAAATTAGTGCTGTTGTGGAAAAAGTGGACAGGCCTGACTAGCCTGATTAGCTCCTACAGTCACGGATTATCTGCTCTAAAGGCAGTGGGGTGTGGGATCAAAATGTTGATTTACTTGACCTTCACATCTTTGACAAAGCAGCCAGCCCAACTGGCACCCAATTTTTGACCGCAGGTCCGTCTTTGAATGGAGCTAATACCCCACCAGGCTCCTTTCTATTATGGCAGTAGGATGTGTGGGTTCAAAACCTTAACACACTTGGTTCTCACAGAGTGGGGCTTATCCTCTAATTTTATGTACATACACAATGACTTTTTTGTGCACGATTTACCCAATTTTTGACCACAAAATTCTCACGATTTCAGAGAGAACCCACAATGAATGGAAGGTGTGGGTAGTCCATTATGGACATTGTGTGTATAGCAGCAAAATAGATTGAGCAGTTGATTCTCACAGGTAGGGGGTTTATGTTTACACGTATGTGTGTGCGGGCGTATAATACACACAAAAGCTTCCGTCAGAAAATAGCCAACCGTTTATTCTGGATTGAAGCTGGATCTGTTGGGAGCCCTATGTACATATACACTTGCACCCATATGCACACCGATATGAAAAAGTGGGAATGTCTCAGGATATCGTACACAAAGGCTATCAACATGAAAAGCTCTACCACCTCCACAGCACATGCTATTCCTAGAAAGACATCATATACATAGTAACCACGTAGGGAGGCTACCGAGCTACCCTTACACATCACGTCTATAATGCACATGCATATGGGGAATGCCTGTGCATTCGGAAGCCAAGCAGATTGCAGGCTTGTCACTATCCCTTCCACTCAGAATGTTGGTAGTATAAAAGTGAAAACCTCTTTTCCTCAGTAATAGGAAATGCCCACTCTACACATTGGCCACCAGCCATACGTGACGTGACAGTTGTAAACAGGATATCTGAAACCTTATGAATGGGGAGAATCTTCAATGTGTGGGTGTTAACATTCCATGACCTGAGTCTCCTATTCAGCGCCACATTACTATAAATAGTAAGTTCCAGGAATCCTGGGTCGCTCTATGTATAGTAACATTAGTAGGGGGACAAGTGATGACACTGGTCATGGGGTTTGACCTTACTACAGCCTGGTTCATTTCTGGAACAAGGAAATCCTCTTCAAACATGTGGCTACCCTTTCACTATCATGTGATTGACCTCCTGAAAAAGCTGATGTATATATATAATTATACACACACTCCCCTTCGCTATCTTGTGACTGTGGTCCACATGAAAACCTGCACGGTTTTTCAAGTTTTCATAATTTTTTCTTTTTCCGCGACACGTGTAAATAAATAAGTAGTAGTTTTGTAGTTTTCCTGCATAAGTAATTAATTTCGCAGGCGGTTTCCATTGTATTACCATCAGCAATTTTATACTGTAAATAAGGTGTGGGGACTGACCAGGGTGTGTCCCCGACTTGATACAGTTGGGGTACTTGTGGACTCTCCTCATGATCTCCTTCCAGCTCTTGTCGACCTGAGTGAACATCTTGGCCTCGTTGGGCAGCTGCCGCTGGATGTCCGGGGCTCCGAATATGCTCTCCAGGTACAGCCAGTTGCGCTGGCACTCCAACCATTCATCCTGTTGAATTGTTCAGAGAGAGAGAGAGACAGCATTCAGTGTTTTTCCACTGCTACAAACCGTTGAAGGAATGGTTAAAAACCCATTAAACCTATCTTGGGTCTTCCAAAACTCATTGTCCAAAACACAATTATGTTTATTTTCGTGGTCATTTACTGAAAATGGATACCTGGATTATACATTGTTAAAGAATTAATAATATACTTTGCGGCCTGTATACGTATTGCATTTACGTTGGCTATACTATACAGTGTGTAAACATAAATTATAATGGGATGTTGTTTTGATGTAAACAATTTCAACTATACTGACGTCCAGTGACTTCATCGGAGAACGTTGGTTTGCATACAAATATGGGCAGGCTAAATTGGTGCACTTAGCAAGAGCTTTAATTGACACTAAAACACAAGTAAACACCCATTAGTCATCTGACGTATAGCCAGCAACCTTATCGGCAAGTTCTGTGGTAAAAACAAAAACTATGCCTTCTGCATTCTAGGGTGTGTTCTACTATAAGGATGATATCAGACAGAGTTTAGTGTTGGGAATGTTGCTTGGTGTTAGGGAAGCATCTGTGGTTGGAATCGTGTTTTTAGACCACGAAATTCCAGAAAGCCCAGTGGGAGGGCGCATCCCAACAAGAGGTGCAACATGACGCAGAGAGGAATCCGCTAACAATTGAATATTTCTCGTTGGTTCAGGTGGTAGGGTGGATACTGTAACGAGAGCTCTGCCAGCAAAGGTATGACAAATTGGTGGAGTAGAGCTTCGTATGAATTCTAAAATGCTGACACATGATACTTGAAGCATGTTTTCACCAGATACACGGGGTGGTGGGTGTGTACATTTCAGGCATAGGATGCATGCTTATGGATTTGTGCAGACCACAGCTTACTTTGCAGATGATCTATAGAGTATGGGAGAAATTATTATTTAAGTTAAGGCATACTTTGTGCCTTAGAAGACAATCCAGATGGGAATGAGAAGTGGGACAATAGATTTGTATTAGGTCCCATACCTGTTTAACATCCCAATCAGATATAAACTGGATTGTTTAACAAGAGGCGAACATAGTAACGTACCTTAGAAGAGCGAAAGCATCACTCTTATATATACCTTCTGTGATAAAAATGCAATAGTTTGCCCCTAGATCAGTCAAGAAGCAGATGAGTAGGATTTCAGTTGGTGCACATTATAAGAGCTCCCACCCCTTGCTATCCGATTCACTAGTGGTGGTTGCTGATACCCAGATCATTCCACTACGTTGGACCTCAGTACAGGTAAAAGGGCTAAATCTACTGGAGGACAAATCTGGCAGCTTACTTTGTGGATATGTGTTGTGCCTTATCCACTACTAAAAACTAATCAACTGGGAAACACCCCTTTCTGAGTTCTAGTGAAATGGTCACATTTCTTAGTACAGCAAATGCGCCCCTTTACTCTTATCACTAACCCAGCATAGTGAAAACTGGGGATATGGGGGTAGACAAAGAGGCTGCTATAGTATGTTGATATTTTCAGAGAGTAAGTCATGGTACTCTGGGCCACCCACCAGCGTTTTCAGAAGTAGAGAGGAAATGGATATATTGTAGGACGCTATGTAGTTTCAATGGAAAAAGTGTGCCTGTGTACAGATAAGTAATTCTATGCTAGTTTATACCTCTGTATCATCTGCAATAAGGACATATATAGTCAGAACGAATGCTAATGCATGTGTTAGACACAATGTGAGAAGACACTGTGCATGAGTCTGCTGAGACCCATACTTGGTAAGCTGAATGGTGTCCACACCTTGTGGCTGTTGAGCAATGACAGCAAACCTTTCTCCTTACACCCTTGTCGTGATGAACTTGCACTGTGCTCTACCTTTCTTACATATATACGTGAAGAACCATGCCTGTGGTTGTGCGGGGAATGCACTGCACTACTACTCAGCGTGGGTGATGTCATGCAAACATTACTCACTTCCTGCCCAGAAACCTAGGGAATTCTCCTCAGCTCCAGTATAAAAGTGGGCGAGTTTGGCTGGCAGAGCAGCAAAGCATCCAGCAGCAGCAACCAAGCAGCTCAAGAAAGAAAAAGCAACTACGAAACCAGCAGATTATATTCCTTCAACGGAAGAAAGCAGGCAACTGAAAATGCAGGCAGCACTCACCCTCGTGACTCTCCTCTCACTCTACAAACTGGGAACCATCCAGGCTGCACCAGTTAGCTCTGGTAAGCACTAATCTGCCATGCATGCAAACCTTGAGCACTTTTGTTATGCAAATCCTTCATTCAAGCACTGCATAGTTTCATGCTGCAAATGCTTTTTGCAAATCTCCAGGTGCAGTAGACTTGACAGACCCACAAATTCTGCGAGAGGACATTGACGACCTTCGATGGGAAATGGAAAATGGCTACCAGCGTTTACTCTGGAGCTCCAGGACCAGGAGCGACAACATGCAGACTGAGCTCGCAACACTGGACAACACTGTCAGGACACTCCAGGGGAGGATCAGCGACCTGGAGGACTGGAGAGCCCAGACCGAGACTCTGATGAAGAACGTGAACCAGGAGCTCAGGGAACAGATCCTGGAGGCACACGGAAAGATTTATACACTCAACAACCACGCCAACCTCCTGGATGACGTGGTGCTCCAGCACCATCCAGAGAGCAACATAGATCTCGGGTACCCTACTGGCAAGAGAAATGCACCTCACGACCCAGCAGCTCCTTAACTTCCTGTTCAAGTTGTGGAAACTGTGCACTAGAAAGTCACATGCATCACTTTTATTCTTTTTCTGCTCTATTTCCTCTATCTCTTTTGTGTACTGTGTGTCCCATGTAAAGATTTTTATTTTTATGGCGTGCTTATATGGAACACCAAACGTAACAAATACTAGTCGACCTATTTCAGTCTCAGGTCAACCGGATAAATTGTAGGTCGACCTGAGAGATTGTTGGTCGACTTGAATCCGCTCAGCGACCTGACAAATTTTGTGTCAACCCGAGACGTTGACGGTTGACCTAAAGAGACTGCATACTGTACATGCACATCATTGTTGGACTACACACTTGTATGGTGTTGCACATGTTCACAGAGAAGGCCCGCTTAGGTTGACCACATTTCTTAGGACGACCTACAGAAACATAGGTCAACCTTTGTGTCTGTGGTAGACCATACAGTCTCAGGTGTATATTATTAACCCTCGGCGCGCATGCGCAGCGAGGGTTACAGTACTTGTTCTGTCCGTCTGTCCGTCTGTCTGTCCGTCCGTCCACGTTTTCTGCCACCACGCGCGACAAACAGGTAAAATAGCGACACCAACGGGTTCAGCGCTACACCCGCTTCATTTTTAAAATGCATAATTTTTGTAAAAGTGCCGCGTTCAGAAGTTATGGCATGAAAACCAAGTGAATAAGCCAATATGCAAATTAGCACAGGCTTACCTCGACCGGGTCCGCTTGCTCTGTGTACCTTGGAGGCACAAGAAGTCACAACGAAGGGTCTTTATCGACTCCCGCATGCTATCTACTACTGTAGCTAGCCCGTGTCAGACTCTTCGCAAGCTACTCTCATACCTACCAACTTGCAGATAAACTTTTGCTTGAGAAATGTATCTTGATTTAGAGCATATTTGCTTGAAAATGCTGCATGTCCATTCACAATGTATGGGCATAATGCATCACAGGTTAGCACAAAAAAGAGGGATTTGGTGATTTTCTGGTGGGATAGGCAGTACTTTTGCTTGATATCAAGCAAAAAGCTGGATGGTTGGTAGGTATGTACTCCGCGACTACAAATAGCCCAGCCCATCAATTAGCGGTACCGCGCATGCGCAGTTCGCCGAGGGTTTTCACTTTAGTGCAGTGTTCTCGGGTCGGTCTCCGCGATCGACGACTAGTACGTACGTTTGGGGTTCCATACGTGTGCTCGCACGTCGTGTGTAAAAATATACGCACGCCTATACACCTGCGCATGCGTATAAGGTTCCGCAGGTCCCCCGTCAGTGCGATGGCACGAATATCCGCTGAGCTCACCAAACACTGACAGCTCAGGCGCTAGGCGCGCCTGAAGGGGGTGACGTAAAAGCCCCGGTCCCAGGCGCGCGCTCGAGAGGGGGAGCGCGCGGGGGAAAGTTCGCACGTGAGTCGAGTGACGTCGATATGCCGCCGCCGGCGGCCGCGGCTGGCTGCGCTGCTGATCGATCGCGATCGATCGCTGCGTCGGCGGCGTGTGTGTGTGTACGTGTTCGATCGTCGCGACGTCACCGCTCCTAGCTCGGGCGGGCGCGGTGTATAAACCGCGACCGACCCACTCCGCTTGCGTGCGCATGCTCTGAACGTTAGTTCCGCGGTTTGGATAAAGGCGCTGCGGTGCGTGTTTTCGGAAAAGCCAGCACACGATGAAAGGAGGTTTGCAAGCACTGTCTCTCGCAGCGTTAGTGCTGAACATCTGTCTTTCGACTTTCGCACTCCCAATAGCCAACGAAGGTAAGCACTTTGGGACCATGATAGCTAGCTAAGTGGCTAAAACCTATCGAGGTGAATAGCTAGCTATGCCCACCCCAATGCAGATGACGGAGCTGACCCCATATTGCTGCTTGCAACCGGACTACTCAGCCAAGAAAAGCGACTCCAAGCAATGGAACAGCGACTGAATGAAATGTCATCCACTTCAATTCAGGGAGCAGTGCCACCAACAACCAGAAGCGAAGTGGTACGAGCAAGACTACAACAGTCACTGGCGGAGAGGCAGCAATTGCCTATCGAGACTCGCATGACTTACCTGGAAGAGGATGTCGAAGACAACCGCAAAACCACAGACCACAAGCTGCAAGTTGTCCACGACATGGCAGCGGATGCTCAGCGTCAAGAGTCAGAGGACGTTCTCGAGCTGCACAAAATGATATCTGACAGTGTGGCCCGTCTGGAGAGCGATATCAATGTCACTTTTGCAAGGATCGAGGGTGACCTTGATCTAGTCAAGGCAGGGGTCGAAGAGAACAAAGCAGACATCAACACAAACTTGAACTGGTTCTTCCATCTCAACACTGGCCTGCACAGGACCATAAACTATGTGAGACACATCGAGTATACTCTGGAGGACCGGATTTACGTGCTGGAAGAACAAATGAAGGAGGTCTTGAAATTCCTGCGCGACGAGGAGAGAATGGGTACCGAGGTTCCGACACAGTCGAGCACTGAGCCTTCAGAATCAAGTATGGGCCCCGGAATCCCAACAGAGCCAAGTGTGGGAGGTGTTGGAGAAACAGGCGGTGGTAGGGCTGCCAGGATAATGAACGAAGCTAAGAATGCCTTGCAAGAGTGGATGGATTCAACACAGCCTTCCAGGAAAACAGCTGCAGTGGAGGAATATGCTGAAGTAGAGAGCGCCAAAGTGGAGAGTAAGACTGGAAAAAGTCAGAGTGAAACACTTCGAGAGCTCTTGTATGAGTTGAATAACTACAACATGTAACCCACAAGAAACTTAACCTGGAATAGTAGGCGTTTAATACAGACTGTTTTTAACTATTGGTAAATGCTGTATGTAACACAATTTACACGGAAAATGTGCCAAATGTTCATGATGAACTCGATAAACATGCTCCTTTTGGTTGAAGTGTATAGATCTGAGACTAGACTGTGTGCAAACACTAGGATGCCTTCGTGGCCCTCTGTTAGCCAAGTAATCCTACAAACCCACATACAATAATTGCTATGTCAACCTTATGCCACATCAAAGACATTTGTATGTATGCAGTCTATGTGGCCAAGTCACTAATCGCTTGATAGTATAAAGTAATAAGCAACCAATGCATGAATGAAATCATGTCATGACATGCTTACATCAATTACATGTCTCTCATCCCTATTTCATGATCTTTTCTAGTCATATTTGTACACAATTTCCAGCGAATGTACGAAATGGTTAGACCTGCCAAAATCCATACTTATTAGTGCAGTTAGACACTTGACACACAGCTGTATGTACACATGTATTACATCAGCCCTTGTTGGTTTTGGGGATTATAAGATTGTTGGTTTTTGATGATGCACCTGTTTGGCCTCTCGCTGTGCTCAGTTAAGGCTAGGTCCACATATGTCACATTGCTGTGCAGCTTTGCTGCATCGCGAGGATAATCTCTTTCTATCTTTGTGGCGCCAAGTGACACGGCATGGCAGGATGGACCAATGTGACATATATTATAGTGAACCCTATAATCATAGCCAAATACTGTGACTGCAAGATGTATAAGCTCAGCTTAGAGTGCCAATCTTGTTGCCAGCTAGTGGAGCAAAACTCACCAGTGTCTCTGCAAACAGTGCCAGTTTCTTGCCCCAGTCCTCCACTCTGGGTCTGATGGGACCCACATGGCGAGACCCAGCTATAGTGGAGATGTTGACCTGTTGGAAATAGCATTCAAAGTGTCCTACACAAACTGTTCTATAAAAGCTTTACTATCTTGGTTAAAGCCGTAGTATTCATGGTTCTACCTACATAACACACCACACACACACACATTGCCCTTTTCCTGACCCTTTCTTTTGGGTCACACTCTCTGTATACCTTTCAATACTGATTTCCTTGTTTGTGTAAAGCAATTTCCTCGTTTGCGGAGTAAGCCTTAGACACACACAGTTCCTTAATTGCCTTGGTAAATGCTGTTTCACTTCCACGCTTTTCTTCCCCACTCCCTCCCCTGCCCCCATCAACTTTTTTGAACCTGGCTGTCGTCAAGCAGGACTTGAATGTCGTCGGTTCCTCCCAGAATGAAGATGTCCTTGGAGTCTCTGTGAGACAGCACTACAAACTCCATGCTCTTCCATGCATCTTCCACCTAGACAGACACACATACCCATTATGTATATACGGAGTGTGTATTATATTGGGTCATGATTCAACTTTTACGTTCTCTTGGGTGGGACTCAACCCATAAAACTTTGCTGCATAGTTGAGTTTCCTCTTTACCTCACCATATAGTACATACATTGTGAGTATGCATAGTAGCTATGGTTCTGGTATGTGACATGCTTTATCAGATGCATACAGAAGGACAATGGAATTACATGAATCATACATAATCACAGTACAAAGAGAGCTACAGTATACTGATGTATTATGCAGACTGTTGTAACAGTAAACATTACCTTCTTGAGGATGGCCTCCAGTGAGGATTCAGACGAGGCCTGACCCGACACTTCCTGTATGGCCTCGGCGTGATCAAACACATCCAGGTCGATGAGAGTCCGCAGTGTAAGGGGAGACTCCGGGTCAAATTTGTAGCCAATGACTTCCTCGATGAGGGTCCAGTGCGTGGCTTCAGTGCAGGGTTGAGTAGGTCAGTGATGGTGGGTACCTGGAAACCGAGGATGTGACTACGTATACTTGGGAATGTAAACAAATGGGAAGGATGGCCTACAGTAGCTGTAATCCCGAGAACTTTGGGATAGTGCATGATTAATTGTCCAGTGTACATAGTTGTACAACCTCACTTAGCAGCACCCATGGAGCTATGTGCATGATATCCAATGCACAGACAAGCCATAACACGTCTAGCTATAGACAGTGCATCCACACATCTGCATCGGCATGTGCACATGTATGCGTAAGAAAAGTGAGCTGGTGCAGACACCTCTGGGATCTAGTTGTACATCAGGTGCATAGCTATACATCATACAATATGTATGTCACCTTATCCTTCATGTCTTCAACTTTCTCCTTCAGTTTGGGCACCACAGCATTCGGAGGGAGCCCCTTCTCCAGTTGGTAGACAGTTTTCGCGTACTTTAGCACTTGGCCGTTGAGGGTGTCAGGCTGAAGCTCATTGAATGGCGTCTGGATTGCGGGCAAGAAAAACACCATATAAGCCATCTCTACAGTGGAACCCCTCTCTGGGACACCCCCGAGACACCTCTCTAATACACCTTTTCTTTCCCCCAAAACAGTTTATTGAACGTCTGAAAATGACACCTCACTAATATAGACACTTTCTTCCGTCCCATTAGTGCCTTAATTAGAGGGGTTTTACCCGTCAACTCACAGTAAGCCATAGTTCATAGTCTGCTTCCCAGTCCTGCTGTGATTTCCAGAGGGTCTGCTTCAGTCTGACTTCGGCATGGGTCTCCTCCAGGTCTTCAAACTTGGTAACCTCAACCTGGCAAGAGAGGGCCACGAGGGAGTGATGGGATGTAGTGAGTAAGAGAAGGTTGAGCGAGCGAGTGAAATGTGAGTGAATAACAGAGAAAATGTAGGCATGGGAGTTGTAAATAGGTAAGACACACAACAGCAGAAATGTTCTGAGGGAGAAAACATTGGTGGGGACCATTTAAACGAGCAATCCACAAAAGTTACCCCGGCACTAAACCATGAAAGTGATCAAGAGGCAAGCGTGATTAGTGGAAGTGTACAGTGTGTATGTGATTAGGTGTGACTAGCACATTTAGAAGGAAGGGTGTGTTGGAAGGAATGTTGGTGGAGGAGGAATGTTGGTGGAGGAGGAAGAGTAGGAGGAAATTCCTTTGATAAGATACCCATTCACTGATGAGTAAAGTAACTTTACTATGAGTTACTATGCCCTGTGTTTATATGGCGGAAGCAGGACGTTAGGAAAGTGAGATCACAGACTACGTATAATACAACCTTGAAGTTCTTCTGGTAGGATTTGTATGTGAAGGCCTTCTTGTGTAGTCCCTCCAGTCTTGCCATCAGTCCCCCCACAAACTCCATCACCTGGTCAGTGTTGGACTCTGGGTCGGTGATCATGCCCGCCTGCAGTGGGAAGATCAACTTTTCATCATGCACTTGGTGGATGAATAACTCTTAGGAATACACCTTGCAAAAATTGAGGAAGTAGTTCATCTTTTACCAGTTATAAGTATCAGTTTGTAGGGGAGGGAGTTGCACCCTTGCCATAGTGATGTGCATTTTTCAGTGAGTATGTACACAGGACTGGAAAAAATGGGAGGGACACAGGGAAAGAAAAAACCTGCACCCCACTAGAAACCCTGAACTGCTCCTTCTTGCTACTACGTCTGTACATACCTGAGCTTCATTCTTGATCTCCTTGGCTTCCTTGTCCAGCTCGGCAATGTCTTTGTCCAGTTGAGTGCAGAACTTGTGGACGTACTGCTCTCTGTTGCTGGTGCCTTTGTCTACTGCAGTACGCAGTCTGTTCACCTCTGGCCGGAGACTCTGCATGAGAGATGCATGCCATCCACTCTCAACTTTGGTATAGGGTACTACTGACAATGTAAGTTTATGCAATTATGAGGGACTCTACATGCTTTGCAGCAATGCTTCCACATAATTATAGAGAAAGCAGTGTAGGGAAAAGTTTTGTTTACCTGGTAGACAGCGAGGTCCTCAGGAGGAGTTGGGACCTGGTACTTGTGGATGAGATCAAACAGATCTTTGACTATCACTGCTTCATCCTCCACCCCAGCCATTTGCTCCTGAATCTCATCCAGGAAACTGCAAGTGTAGATGAGACATAATTACATTGTAGCTATAGGATAAAGGTATCCACAACAGGCTTACTACACTGTAGCTATAGGATAAAGGTATCCACAACAGGCTTACTACACTGTATATAGCTATAGGATAAAGATATCCACAACAGGCTTACTACACTGTAGCTATATAGGATAAAGGTATCCACAACAGCTCAGGGTGTCAACAATGAATGTCATTATTGGTTCAGGAATGGTGTGTGTACCCTGTCTGCTGGAAGCTGCAACTCTCTTTAGAGTGAAGTCTCCAGCAAGCAGAGGATGTTACACCCTTAACTGGGCAGCTTGTTCTTTATAGAATTGGCACAAGCTGCATCCAACAGTTGTGGTTTTACGATATTATTGTATTCATTGTTTATGAATAGTTCTGCTGATGAGGAATTTGTTTCCACCTTTTATAAGCTACCGATATCGCTTGTGCAGACTGCTGCAACTTTCCATGAGACAGGTTCGAGGCGAGCTAGGGCCTGAATTGTGTAATTCTGATTCCCTCTATATTATACAGCACCAAATATTCACTGAAGCTCCACCAAAAAGATCATCAGTATTATGGTGGTGTGGGTAGCTGAAATGTTCTCTTTGACACTTCAAAAGATATTCACCACAAGCACTTAGCCTCATTGTATGATAATTATGGAATTTACTGGAAGAACTGGATGACCCCTTTTACAACATTCTTCTATGCTGCAAAAAGATGCACTCATCTGCTTTAAATGGCAGAGTGTCATCACACACACAACTCTATTATGGAGGTACTATTATACACACATTATTTTGTGTGATGTCATCCTTTTTGAGATGTGTATGCGATGCTACACTAGCAGCTCAGATGTGTGCATCCTTCTGTGCACATCTTTTTGGTGTGGTTGTCACCCTATAGGCTGCAACTCTCTTTAGAGTGCAGCCTCCAGGGAATACCCACACCTGGTATACACAAAGGGATCCGATCTTATATCGAGTTGGCATAGAATGTACTCAACAATTGTGGTGCCACTGCTTATGAATTTAGTTGCTGCTAGAACCTACATACGTCAGGAGGTTGACAAAATCAGCTGTTGAAACAGGCTCAGATTCCAGCTTGAAAACTGCATCCTGTGACACTGAAATCAGTCGCTCCATTATCACTTTTGCTTTGAAGGGCAGAGTGTCATGAATGGCCTGTGAGAAACAGCATCAGAAGTTGAGATGTTAAAATCATAAAATGGAGTTGTCCGTGAACGTAGACACTATTCACCCACCTCTTGGCACCGAATGGGTGAAGGTAGGAGCTGGTTTCGTAGCACGTTGCTGTCCACTAGCATCAGGCCAAGGTCTTTTGTAGAAGGGCAGTCCAAGGCTCGAATGTGCTGCAGTCGATAGCGGCCCAGCCATAGTCGGTAGAACTCCACATCTACATACAGACAGACACAGCACTTTTAAAGGTGGCCCTAGCCTGCCTTCTTCTATGTGAGGTCTTGACACCTCAGACTAAAGTAGGAAGATTGTGGTGGTGGTAAGGGTAAGGACAAACCATGATCTTCTTCCCTGAATTTCTCCACGTCCAGAGCTTCGTTCTGTCTGTAGAAGTCCCTGTAAGGCTCAAACTTTTGCCGATAGTCATCAGCTTTCTGAAATGCCACACTCACACACTCCTGCAATGGAGCAGTATAGATGCACACAAGACCCTATGTATGTATGTAAAATATATACCTGTATACTGTTGTTGAGTTGTTCTAAGTGAGAGTCGTCTTCAAACACATCTTCAAGGCAGGGACCCTCACCACATACCTTCTCCTCCAACTGACCATTGATCAGTGGCCTAGATTGCACAAATACTGTGTAACATTGGGACAAATTAAGGGTATACATATCTGGCAAGCATGCACATCACGAGAGGGAGATACAGTAGTGTTGGTAAAGAGCACGGACCTGGTGAAGGAATGGAAGAATGGGTCTGGGAGGAGATTGGGAACAGCGTGGCAGCACTCCTGGAATTGGATCAGGATATCTCCTATTGTGGCATGGAATTGAGACTCTGCTGGCTCGAAGCAGAGCATATCATCCTCCAGCACCAACTCCGTTGTAAACAGGCACTTTTCCTCTTGTTCCTTCACTAGCATATCCTTTGAAAGTTGCTACAGAGTAGTATACATGGTAGATGTACGCTCAACAATGAATGTCATTATTCATTCAAGGAGAGTGTGCAAACCCTGGAGGCTGCAACTCTCTTCAGAGTGTAACCTCCAGGGGTATGCTATACCCCATAGCAAGAAAGTTTGTTCTTTATAGAGTTGGCACAAACTGCACCTAATAGTTGTGGTTTTACGAGCATTGAATTCATTGCTCATGAATGAAGCATCGTAAAACACTGGTTGTGTGTGACAAACCGAAAACCTTACAGCTCACCAAAGGCTTCTGTACAATGTGACTGATGATTGTGGTCTAGCACAGGATGTGTGTCCAGCATAGCTTTTATGTGCATGATGTCTCACCAGTGGCGATGGCTGGAGGCGAGAGGGAGCTCTGACAGGTGAGGCCCTCCCAAACTTGGAGGAAGACGCAGAGGCGAGCGTGTGGGAGGAGCGAGAGGCCATCTTTTCCAGATGCACTGGAGTGTAGCCCACTGTGTCGTAGATCTCCTGCAGAGAAAGAAAGTAACAGAAGTTACCAAACATTGCATGGCCAGCAAAAACTTAGCTCCTGACAACAGGTATTGATATTCATGATATTTAAAATCGATAGTAAAACCACAACTGTTAGACCTAGTTCACCTCAACTGTACAAGTAAAGATGTATGACTTATGTAAAACTGGAGACCATCTACTATGGGGTGTTTTGCAGATCTCTGAGGGAGGAATGCAAGGTTAAGGATCCATCTAACTGAAGGAGGTGTCCTGAGGATCTTCTCAAACAACTATACCATGAGTGTTCTGGCCAGAAGCTATATACTTCTTAACTCCATTGCAAAGCTGGAGGATACATGAGCTATGGCTACAGCTAGAGCTGCTCATTCTCATGACAGTATATACCTGCAGTGTCTTTTCCAGCTCCTCCACATCCTCTGGGATGTCCTTGACAATGTTGGTCACCTCCACCGCCTTCTCCAGTTGCGTCCGCAGGAGATTCAGGAGACGAGAGCACGAGTGGCGAGTCAGCCCGTGCAGCATAGTCACCACCAAGTAGTCACACAGTCTTATGAAACTACAGCGGAAGAGCAAACACCACGTACTTGCTTCATTGCACCATCATTAACATTTTTTTACTATGCATACAAATGGAAAGTGCACACATACTTCTTATTGTGAGAGACATACATAGTAGTGCACATGCAATGGGGAAAAAATTATACAAGGTGGTATACCTTGTGAGTCTTTGGCAGTGCTGTCTCTTTGCTGCTTGCTCCGTGTAGCTCATCTTCTCCTTGTGATCAAGCTGAACAAGCCCCTCCTTCTCTCTACTTCCTTCTCCTTCCAAAATCGATTGAGAGCCCCCTATAATGTTAACAGGCATAGTATACATGTTGAAGTATGATACGATCGGAATGCACATGAATGTATTTAGTAAACCACAACTGTTGCACGCAGTTAGTTTTAACTCTACAAATACAGGGCTGTCACTGCCACTGGTAGCGTAATGCCAACAGCTGGTGGCCATACTCTAAAGAGAGTTGTGGTTACTGGCTAAATACTATTGCTGCAAGCTACATAGTATAGTATGGGTAGTATAGGACAAGTCACTGTACAGGGCAAAGCTGAGCTTGTGGTATTAGCAATTGAATGCCAGGCCAGAATGTCAAGTCCAACCTACATACACTCTGAAAACGTGCATACCTTCAGCTTCTGGGTCTTCCAGGGGGTCAGGTACAAAGCCATGTTGTGACAGAGTGTCTTCACAGGCCGTCACCACAATCTGCCTGACTATAGCATGCAGTTCAGACAATACCGCTGACACCTGTGCACAGAATAAGAGGCCAATCAACATTGATACGTGTTGGTCTTATGCACTAAGAGCCAACTGACCAGTCCCATTTTGCCCATGTGGCAGTCCCTGAACTCATCCAGACTGTACGTGGTGCCTTCCTCTATGGCCAGCAGCAGTTTACTCTCGTAGTCTGCCTCGCAGTGGGCCCTGATCTCCAGCAACGCCAGAGAGAGTTGCGGGTGTAGGATGAACAGATTCTCTTCCAGCGACTTCTTACACTCTCGAATTCGTCTTAAAATGAACACACGCAATGAATTTTACTAAAGCACAGTGCTCCTGCAATCTGAATTGACCATAACGTGCATTTGTGAATGTGTCCACACTTAGCATGTGTACAAGTATCACTCGTTACCTATGCATACCAGAGGCTGAATTCTTGTCAATACGCACCAAATTGTGGATCGAGTCAATCCCAATTCTTAAAGTTGCTAGTGCTGACAGAATCGATACGGATGCAACACCTTTACAGTTGGCTTTATATAACTATGCCATACCTGGACCGAACGTTTTTTCTCCACGTGGCAAAAGCTTTCCACATCCTGAACCTGGCGAAGGTGCCAATCTTGACGAGTTGGTTGAAGTGGTTCAAGTCGCAGACCCACTGGTCCAGATCTGTGAACTGAGGCTCGCGACCCGCTATCATCCGAGTCACTCCCTTCAGACTGAGAGTGGAATAGTCAGACTTGTTCACTTTGGAGTACACCACCACTCTGAGGTAGGAGAAAGAGTCATATGAATGGGAGATGAAGGTGAACTATGAAGTTACTACTTTCAAAGTGTCCAAATTCATGTTTATCTATTAATTTAATGGGTGCTGAACGTTCCTATGATGGCAAGTTGATGATGGCAGGACAAACATAGATTCTTATTGGCCACCACTTGAAAGTTTCAAGCTGCTGTATACAGGTTAGACACTACCTAGTGGACTTAGAACCTTTGCCCAACACATATTACGTATTAGTGTGTTGTGTACCTGAGGTCGTAGGGGTTGTAGCGACAAGATTTGCAGTCGTCTCGTGGAGTGAGGTAGAGGAAACCCAGCTCAGGCTCCCTGCGCAGTCGCTCAATGATCTCCAGAGGATCCACAAGGCTCTCAAGAGGAGGAGAAAACCTACGCATTAAAGCCAATATACGTTTGCTGAAACAAAACTGCATGCAACTTTTGTTGTATGGGTATGATAGTCCATGCAACAAGAGATGTTGCATGGAGCTATTAGCACAGGATGTCTGTCTCTTGTTACAGGTACTATAGTCTGCTTGTATGTGTATACTTTGTTGGGACTGAGGTGGGGTCGGACACCATGAGGGCAGAGCGAGAGCTGTATCTCCGACGAGAGGAAACTCTGCGAGATGAAGTCACAGTGGTTGGTGGAGGATGGAAGGAGGCATAGGCTGTGGGACAGTCTCACGCAATTCTGTTAAAACGAAAAGTCGACAGAGTGTGTATGGGCCCTACCACCACTGGGCTTCCAAATTGTTTAGGTCCGTGTTGGACATAATGTGTGAATGCTATAGTGTCTCTACCGTGTTTAGCCACTGCTCCATCCATTATGGGCAGAACCATGCATGTGGCATTACTTCACTCATCTCTGTCCTAACCTTCCATTGTCTTTTGTCTTTCTTGCAAGTCTCCCGGAAGAGGTGGCAGGGGAGAAAGGCTCACATCTTCCTGGAGTGGATGCACGCTCCCCTTTCTGGAGTTTCGTGCAAGGTTTGGAGGCAGAGGCTGGTCGGGGCCATGAATGTCGTGGTGCAGTTGCTCCTGGTAGGCTGACAGAGCAGGTAGCGGCTCTAGCTTCTGCTGCTTTTTCTTTATCGGAGCATCATCCTAACACAAACGTGTATTTCATAATAGCATGGAAGGAATTGGACTTCTTGGCAATTTCTAACCCAGTCTTTTTGTGGCCTCCTTCGAGCTACTCTGAGCTGTGGTCTAGAGTGAGAATACACTTCGTGTTGGCCGTAGAGTCTGGCTTGTAGCTGGTGCTGTGTCTCAGCCCCTCGTGCCAGTGAGGCTGCCAGGAAAGAGGAGGAGGTGGAGGGGTGGGCACCTTCCCCTGGTGAGCGTCTGAGACTGCTGGTTGTAATTGCAGGAGCATTGGGGCTCAGTGGATGGCCAGTTGTCGACATGACGACAGGCCCTTCCTGCAGTAACCACCATCATAAAGGTTAGTTACGTACACTGGTGCGTGCGGGTAAGGCGGCCGCGTATATAGACACTGGACTTTTGCATCGTAGTGTTCGCTGACCGCTATGGAATATCGTGCAGACCCCGCTCCGTAACTAAACCAACACACCTTCTTCTGTCGCTGAAAAACTACTAGTTTTCTCTGCACCGCTCTAAGAAACGTTCATCCCCCACGTTTCTGCTGCACAGGTGCCGCAAACTTCAGCCATTTTTTACTAACAGTATCCATAGCAACATTGGTAAGCAATGAATACAATTACATCTGGAACACTTCTACTTTCCCTTGAAAACTGGCTTTCTTTTCTCTTGGAAAGCCTTGAGAGCTTCCAATCTGTCCTCTGTTGCAATAATCTGCAGGAAAATGATCATTATCAGCACACTATGGCAATGGATTATGAAACAAACTTGAGCATAGCAGGCCTCTTCGATTCGCATTCCTGTTGCTATGTCGGCCTATGAAGGAGAGAAGTGTATATACAACAATGCAACACACAGCCATGATTTTTTAGGCAATATACCTGCAACCCCATGTCAATTGCTTTCTTGGCAGCACCTACTGCAATTGGACCCTGTATATATGAACTGAATTAACAACTCACACTTGCGGAAACAGTACACCTACCTTTGAGCCTATTTCTAGAGCAATCTCTAAAGCCTTCTTGTAGGCAGCATTAGACTCTTCATTAGCAGGGACTACCTCTTCAACGAGGCCAATGGCATGCGCCTCAGCACCACTCACAATCTGTGCAGTGAAGATCATCTGCTTTGCCTTACCTGCGCCAATCAGTTTGGGCAGCCGCTGTGTGCCACCTAAAATGTACACAAGTATCACTGAAATTCCACGATATATTTTAGAAGCTGAAATTTTACAGATTTATGCACACTACAATCAGGAGATGGGGTTGGAGGTTCAATTGCTAGATGATATGCTGGCTAGAGTTCTCTGGGTTGATTCTCTGAGGGTGAACTGGACAAAATCCTCCGTGTCTTTCTCCTCAAGTTTGTGGTAAGATTCAATCAGCTCCCGACGTAGCGAAAGTTTGATAGCGGCTCTAGTTTCATGACACGTCTCAAGATACGGCAGCAAAGCTTCCCTGCACCTGTCATCTATTACTTTCTTCTCACACACTTCATCCATTAGTCCTGCTTTCACTGCATCTTCAGGCTGGAATACGCGACCTTGTTGCAAGCACATCTCCGTCACTCTCTGCCCCGTGAGGTGAGTTAGGGTCCTCAGAAACCAGTGTGGGGGAACTAACCCAATTTTGCTGCTGTAACACCAATTTTATAGTCCCCCTGAGCGCATATTCGATGATCACATGCCGCAGCAATAAGAGTTCCGCCTGCAAGACAGTGACCATTGATTGCAGCGAGTGTGGTGAGCCGACATGTATAGATCATGTACCACATCTCTCGAACAATCTTCCAGAATTCCCTCAAATGAGCCTCCGATACCCCACACAGATCCTTGAAATCCAGTCCAGCAGAGAAAACTTTGGAGACGCTGGACTTTAGCACCACAGCATGAACATCACCAGACCGCGTGATATCGTGAAACTTGGCAGAGAATTCTTGGGAGAGGCTCATGTCGAAGCTGTTTACCGGTGGGCGGTTGAAGGACATGTGGGCAATTGTGTACTTGTCGTCCAGGCCTTCCCTGGTCACCTGAACGAGTTCATCGCTTGAAGTGCTGAAAGAAGACCTTGATGGAGTTATCCCAAGAATATACGGCCTGGTGAGCCACAGCATGCAACTAAACTTTCCACGGGCAAGCATTTTCCCAGTCGGTCGTTTCCCCCCCTGGCGCCTTTGCCTCGACCTCCGCGTGCGCATGCTCGAGCTCCATAGCGCGCGCCGCAGACGTTTCGCGCGAAACTGCCGGGAAAACGATCACAGCTAGCTAGCTATATATAGCTAGACACCTGGGTTGTTGAGTCTCTCTTCTGTAGTCTGTCTGTACGCTGTTGCACGGCCAGAATGACGGCAAACATGGAGTTCCTGCAAGCAGCTCTGGCAGCGTCGGCGCAGCCAGCTCCAAACGTCTACCCCTACATCAACTACCAGGCTCCCCTACCGGGTCTCCCAGCTCCACAGCTGTGCAGGACGTCTCCTTTGGGCAGCAATGTAGCCTCCAGTGGCAATACCTCTACCGTATCTCCACCACCCACGCGAGCCCTGATGACGCTGGACGTGGGGAACCGCCACGCCAGCGCCTACACCTCCACGCAATGGTCCGCGCCAGCACCGCTTGTACCCCTGAGCTATCTCCGGCCACCCGCGTTCCCCGTTCACCTGACGAGAACGCCGACGACTAGAGACTCCTCCGCCATAACCAACGCTCCCTTCTCTCCTTTCCCGACCCCTCCTCTCACTCCAGCGTCTGGGTCAGTATGTCCTGTGAGTCGCACTAGATTTCCCTTCCCTCCTCTACCCAGCTACCACTTCGCACTGGGGACCCTCCCTCAACAGCTACCAAACAGTGGACCCGCTCTACCAAACTACTTCATACCGCTACAACCAATACTGCCCGGAACTTTCACCGAAGACACTCCCTCACCGACTCCCTCCCCCACACATTCACCAGGCTCACTCCTCCCCACCTCCTTCACTCCCATCCTCACCCACACAACGTACACCGACACAGTCTCCCACTCTCTCTTCCTCAGCTACCTCGACGAAGTTTGGCCCGAGAGCTCGCTACGGAGAAGCAGCAGCGTCATTCGGAGCTCGCTCTACGACAAGATTGTTTTAGTTCTGCAGGGAGAAGCAGGGGCAAAGGGGCGGGAGAGGCTGTGGATCAAGAAATCGGAGTTCTTTCTCGTGGAGAAGGAAGGTCGTGGATCCCTACTGGCGGTCCCGGCGGTCAGATCTCGTGCCAGCAGCAAGAGAGGACCGCTGGAAGGGGACGGAGGTGAGAAGAGTGCGTCGAAACGATCGTCGTACAAGCTGGTTGCAAAACTAGAGGATTTCTACTACATCATCAGCAGCTACCACAATAGTAATGTTGGGCACCACGGCATCAGGAAGACTTATGGACTGGTGGGCCAATTGTCTGTTACAAGTGCATGGGAACTTTAGTGTTTACATGTGTGCATGTTATTCCGACAAGCTTACAGGACAAACAGTACACATTATGGTTCTTACAATGCCTGGATTAGGCATTTTAAATGCCTCTGAATGGGCTGGGTGCTTAGCTACAAAGGTCTGAGTTAGATGCACTATTCTTTGCATTGTGAATCTAGTCCCGAAAGTCAGAGGATTTATGCCACAATGTTATCTTGTATACCTGTCGTATCTTTGTATGTCTATTCTTACCCTGCCTCTAAGTCTCCTATCCATAATATCTTACTTGCTGCGTGTGCAATAGATTCAAGGCGAGTACAGCTATCTACCAAGGACTGCAGTGGCAAAGTACATCGAACTATGCAACATTTGCAGAGTCCACAGAACGGGGAAATCAGAGAGTGCAGGGAGACGAGCCAAGATGGCAGCAGCCGGGAACAAGAAGACGTCTATAGCAAGTCCAGACACTGAAAATTGTCCGTCGTTCTCTAACACACTACTTGAGCACCCTTAGCACACCTTTCTGTCAAATTTAACTTGTCTGCCTTTGTGTTTTGTTACATACCCCCATTTTCACATGTTTCTGAAACATGTTTACCTTGCTGTTATAATTCCTTTTTTCAACCTGCATCACTTAAATTGAGTTTCTATTTTAAACCTGAAAAAACGAAAGTGAAAATTACCTCCACCAGGGATGATGGCAAGTCTCGTCTCCACCAGTCCCATTTGAGCAGTGTCAGCTGCAACAAAACACAAGAAGTCATGAAATGATATATATATATACACACACACACAATACTTCTGTGAAGGCAGACCAGGAGAAACCACGAAGGAGGATTTAAGCCCGCCCTCTGTACAACACACATGTGATACTATCCATTTCGCTTCAAAGACACTAACACACTACAGTGTAGTCTCTTTTTCACCTGCCACCCTGATGTCTGTTGCCAGTGCAATTTCCAGCCCGCCACCAAGAGCCAAGCCGTCCAATGCAGAGATGACAGGCTTTGGAAGGTCACAGAGATCCTGGATAGTCTTACGTGCCCCCTGCCGTGAATTCTGAAACCTAATGTGTGCACACACACACAGTATAGTATAATAGTATTCGACTTGGAAGAGACAGAGACTATACTAAGAGGTGTTGTGGTCAAGCTTATAATCGGTCGAAACAGACCAAACAATGTCCACTTCTTTAAAATGTCAGAGAATCATCTGATAATTGGGAAGGTTTTCTTTTCCACACAACGAAATATATCGCCCACTCCTCTGCATTAGTTTTCCATTGTTAGGTAGCGAAATGAATAAAGAGTCACCACCTCTCTGTCTGTCATCTCCTTTCTCTCCTTGAGGTCAGCTCCGGCACAGAACACTCCGGGAGCATTGCTCTTCAGTATAACCGTCCTCACATCAGGATCATGTCTCACCTGCTGAATACCTGCCGCCAACTGCACAAACAACGCCATCATAACTGCTTCAACTGCTTCGTATCACCCATAATTATTAGCTATAATATCAGATGTAGCTAGAGAGGTCACGTATGTTGCTCTGGATTGCTAACCTGGTTGACTAGTTTTCTGCTCAGGGCGTTCTTGACTTCAGATCTGTTGAATGCAAACACTGCAATGCCTGGGTCCCAGATATTCCTCAGTCAGTGATGGAGTTTATCAGTAACTAGCTAGTACCATTACCTGGTGCTTGTTCTTCAGCAGTTCCACCACTAGATGATCGCTGTCGCTCGAGTGAGGCCTCGACACGATCTGAGCTCGCGTCTGCCGTCTTATCCAGGCCCCTAGCCCCTGCGTTCACAGCTCTAAGCATCTTTCTTTTCGCAGTCTTGAGAATTTGAAGTCCAGGGGTTAAAATCCTGGGGGAGGGGCTGCGAGTATGTGCGCATGCGTAAAACATCGACGTCTCCAAAGAGCGCATGCGCAAAAACAACACCGGTATGATAATCGAATCTAAAGTACAGTAGTTCATGGTTTCAGAGTTGCTGTATGATCCTCTTCCTCTTCCTGTCGTAGATGAATTTGTGCTGTTTGAACAGTTCGCTCTCGTAGAACGGAGCCAGACTGTGGATACTGATCTGCCGAGCCTGTACGATATACAAAAGAGTTCACAATGCCAACATCGCATTCTGGCTGGCCAAATAGATACTTGAGTGAACAAACTCACGCAGTTATTGTTCTCTCATTCCTCATTCAAGAAACCAATATCGAGCTGCACAATAATTATGTATATACCATCATGAATGCCTCCTTAGTCAGGAATTGCACATGCCCAAACACTAATCAATATACACGTACGATGCTAATTACTTTGTCAACCATAAACGTACAATGCTAATACCAACGCCAATACTTTGACAGTACAGACACAGCACCTGCAATACACGTTACCTTTTCCACAAACTCTTGCTCGGGGACCTCCACGATGTCGAGGTCTCCTCCGTAGCGGTTCCTGTTGAAAGTGAGGTGGTCTCCGGCCAACTGCTTCAGAATGAACAGCAGAAGCTCGTTGTTGTCCTTCTTGTACGCCAAGTAACTCGCAAAAGCCTATGTATGTATGTATGTATGGAGTTGATACAAAGTAATGACACAATATATACTGAACCATAAAAAAAATTTTTACCACAGTAAAAAAGGATCATACAATCTGCTACAAATGGCCAAGAAATAAGTTTAATAGGTCCTCCCTCCTTCCCAAAAAGCATGCTCCTAAATTATAATGTCCCTGGAAATCTCTCGCTCTCCCGACACAGGAAAACATAAACCTGGCCATTCTCAGTATATGTTCCCTGATCTTACTTTGATCAAACCTAACACTCTCCAAGGGTTCAACCCACTGCATTAAACCACCTTTCTCATGTTTCTCATGACAGAGTACTTCTGGGTGTCAATGAAGCTCTCCAGCATGACTCTGATGGCCATGTCAACGTCGTCACTGTGCACGTACTCTCGCAGGTGCATGCGGGCGTGGGCCTCCGCGACGCGGATGATTGACTCAATGTGGCGAACTGTGATCGGAATACTCCCAGTCCTCTGAGTGTAGAAAATAATACAAGTATATAGATCTGTGAATTTGTTTCAGAACCAACTACTAAAGGTTTTCAGCAAATTTTTGTTGTTAAGGGGCGTTAGCGTTTTGTACAGCAGGATAAGCAATTGCAGAGAATGGCGACATGTATAAACACAGGAAGGGGGTTTATTGAGGTTTGGAAAACAAAATTTTCGCATTATCTTCCTCGAAATTTCCACCATGCAGTATATAGGAGGTGGGTTCTGGGGACACTGACCATTGATTCCTTCCTGAGGTTGGCATACAGCTTGGCAACTTTGTCCTGGTCCATCTGATGCAGCTTTGGATGAACCTACACACAACAACAACCACCAGACTTTCACGTAATAATACAGCAACAGTTCAACTTATATCAATAGGACAAATTTTCAGCTTTTACCATACCTTTTCCTTGGAGTAGATGATGTATTTCCTGAGGAGATCTTGGTCGATTGGCTCCGCCCCACCCTTGTGGGCGTGGCCACCGGGACTCTCGCCTCCTCCCCCAGCGGTGGGCGGGGCAGACGGGTGGTGACGAATGTGACTGCCGACCACAAACCTCGCCAGGTTCTCGTCCTATTGACACATTACAAGAACGTTACTAAAAATGGAAGCACACAGGCACAAAGCACATTAGAAAGACGTGCATATTCCAGAGTCTAATTTGTAAAACTTTGTCAGTATTACACATAGGGTGGAGGCAATCGGACATACATATGTAGGTGCATATATACAGTAGCTCAATGCACCCCAGTTATTTGCTAGCCAATGACACCTCTCACCCCTGTTTTCATTTCTAGGCAAAAGCTAAAGTTAAAGACCTGTTTCTGGCTGGGAGAGCACTGGACTCACCTCAACAGGGTCGACCACATCTCTGACGACACAAATGATGTCGAAACGAGACAAGATTGGCTCAGTCAGATCAACCTGCACACCAGACACACACAGCAATGCCCATGTAACAGTTTCTCTACATTTAGCCCTACCGCCTTTTAATAAGCTATTGCCAATTAAGGCAGTGTGGTTAAAGTGCTCGTGTTTTCCATTGAGGCAGTGTGCAGAGGGTTAAAGGGCTCGTGTTTCCATTGAGGCAGTGTGCAGAAGGTTAGGATGCTTGTATTGGTGCACAAAGGGTTAATCAAAGTCCTCACGTTCTCGGCGAAGGTCATGGAGGGGTCGTAGCGTCCTCCGATAGGGTTAGCGGCGGCGATGATGGAGCAGCGGGCCTGGAGGGAGGTGACGATGCCGGCCTTGGAGACAGAGATAGTCTGCTGCTCCATGGCCTCGTGGATACTGGTCCGGTCCTGGTCATTCATCTGGGGGTAGGGGGGAGAGAGGGTTCTTAGTGGGGGGGGGGGTGCTGCACACAAGACACTAAAACCATTAGTAGTAATTGTTTGAGTGAGAACACTGCAACTTTGGGCAAACACTTACCTATCCCAAGAGAACCCTTGGGTTATAAATTTCATCTCAGCATCAATATTCCGCAATTGGTAAAGGGAAATGTGGCAGTATATATATTAGGGTTAATTTTAGAAACTGGAAACATTCTTTAACTGGGCCCTATTGTATATTTAGCACTTGCGTTTTTTTGTTGCTGGGAATCACATTGGGCATGGCATTATATATGTTCGACGCTCCACTGCAATATGCTGAGGTATATATACATACCTTGTCAAACTCGTCAATCATGCAGACACCCTTATCAGCCAGGACGAGAGCTCCAGCCTCCAGCGTCCACTCCTTCGTGACGGGGTTCCGTTGGACGTAGGCCGTCAGTCCCACGGCCGACGCCCCCTGCCCCGTGGTGAACACGGGACGAGGTGCCACTTTCTCCACGTACTTGAGGAACTGCGACTTGGCAGTCCCGGGGTCTCCGCACAGGAGAATGTTGACGTCCCCTCGTACCTTGTGCTTCTGCCCTGAGATATCCACAAGAGTCATCCTCAAACAACAAAAATAGCAGTAAACAAGTGGCGTTCAAAGCCTTGAAAGTTCACCACACCTACGTATCATACTGGGCTATGAAAAAGATTCAAAGGATCAAATCAAGTGATTAAAGCCTAAACAGCTTTTCACATATATATAATAACGCATAACATTGGTATAATTATAGTTACGGGATAAAATGTACCTGGGTCCTTGGCTTCTCCTCCAAAGAGAGCGAGAGCCAGAGCTCGTTTCACGCCTTCGTGCCCGTAGATGGAGGGTGCGATGCTGGCCATTATCCTCTCTCCTACCCTCTCTTCTTTACTCAGCCCCTGGATGGCTCGTATGTGCTCGTCTGTGAGGTTTGCCACCGCCATCTTGTCGTCCTTCTTGCTCACGTAGTTGGCCTCAATCACGGTCGCAAACACTGGGAAACCGTTGGCAGTGTTGAGGGATCCGTCGTAGCTGTTTGTGAAAACTCCGGTCAACTCCTTTGGATGGGGACGCCAAGAAAAACATATTTTAAATGAACAATTGTTATGTAAGGTGACTTCAAAAATAGAACAGGCAAAATTTGATCCTTAAATATTTCCTCTGTGGAAGTTTTAGTTCGTGAAATCACATGGGCACTACCCAAAAAGGGCAGAGATGAAAAAAATAGTGACGTAAAAACCAGACATTTTCCAGAGAAATGAGAGTTTAAAACTTTTCTTTTCACTAATCTGAGTACTGCCCGGTCTCAAGGTGTTTAGATCAGAGAGTTCCTACGTGTCAATAATGTGGTACTACGGCCAACATGTGTCAATAATGTGGTACTACGGCCAAGGCTAAGCAAACAAGTCGACTGTAAAGTGTACACACGTGCGGAGGAGAAAGCTCACTATCTCGTCTCCAGGCCTGCAGATGTCGACGAGGTCGGAGAGGAGGATGGCGTCCTTGGAGCGAGGCAATCGACCGGCGGCCACCTTACTGGGACTCTCCTGTATGGTGATCCGCTGGTAGTTCTGGTAGAGCGTCTGGGATTAGAGGGAGAGGAGGAGGAGGAGGTGAAAATCATTTGGGAAAGAGGACTCTTAGCAATTAGGTGCTTCCAATAGATCTGCTTGTTACCACTGAGTGGAGCGGACATTAGAGCAAGATACATATAATTTTCAAAAACTTGTGTGAATTGGTTTTCAAATTTTCTACAGTCCACCAGATTCTGTAAACAGCAACAAAAACCCACCCCCGTGCATTTTCCTGAATGACAAAGGGAGTCTCTCACTTGTTCCATGTTGATCTCGAAGGGTCCGCTGGCCTGGCACTCGGGGCAGGTCCCCGGCCGAGTCTCCTGGTCCTGTCGCTGGTAGAACGGACCGAGGATGAACCCGCAACCGAGACAGTCGTACTTGATCATGCTCAGCTGGGGGAGGATGTTGGTGGTGGTCGTCACGACGCCGCAGGTCCGGATTAACTGGTTCAGGTGCAGCTGTCTACACGTGAGAATGCAGTGGAACAGACATCAACTGACAACGCTAAACGTTCAAACCCTTGGCAAGTATCTTTATGCCCACTTAAAATGATGTTCACCCCTGCTGACTATGCAGAATTGTATGTAGTGCTAAAGCATGTCTGCCGTAGACAAGTCAACAGACGCTCATGTGCCTAAAAACTCATTCACACACAAGTATATATATACAGAAATGCCATTTTGCCCAAACCCTCAAATGCCTAAATCTACCCAATAGCCAAATCTAGCAAATCCTCCAACACCTACAGCCTTCCCCCGTCAAAACGAGCCAGACGAAAGTGGAGGAGAGAGGGAGAGAGAGAGAGAGCACACTGACCTAAGAGACCTCAGCTCCTCCATTAGCGGTAGCTCAGACACCCTCACGTGTATCTCCGGAGAAATTCTGTCGTAGTTTGGGTAATAGTGCAGCACCACTTCCTTCGCAGCCTGCAGCAGAAAGAGACGTGCATGACACAGAATTATTGACCAATGCCACAGTTTTCGAGCTCAGTAATCGATGCTCAAGTAGATCACCAGCAATTACGCGCGCGCCATTTATGTGGCGCGCAGCGCCCATAGTGTTAAGAGACTAAATTATTTTGGCACTTTGCACGCTTTCTGTAAATGCTACACAAGCTGCACAAACACGTACACACAGTATACGTCTGACTATAAAACTCCATGCAACTTTGTGTCGTGCAACAAATTTGCAACTGTATCGTGAAGAGACCTCGTCAAAGATCTTGAGCATCTCAGTGGGGGCCTCTGGGAGGAAGAAAGCAATGACTTGTTGCTCGTTGGCCAGCGTGTTGTAGTCAACCACCAGACTCTTCTTGTTGGCTACAGAGACAGCGTGGAAAACAAACATCACTATCGGCGTCACCATTCATTCACTCCAAATTGTTCTTACTGTGTAATATATACTAGACATATCCCTTAAAATGTTTTTACTGTGTAATATATATACTAGAAATATCCCTTAAAATGTTTTTACTGTGTAAAACACTAGTACTGGATTGCTGTGCATGTGCGGTCGTGATTTTGTTGTTGCAAGAGGGAAATTAGAGAGTGTCCTCATTTCGGAGGATATGCTCAGAGAGTGGTTCTACTGTATATAGTAGGCTTGCTTCTCTTGTCAATAAGAGAGAAAGGTCACCCACACTAGAGACCAGCTGCAAACCTTCACACATCTGGCGAATCTTCTCCCGGTAGATGTTGACCCCCTGTTCGTTGACAAAGGTCCTCAGGAAGCTCTTGAACCGTGTCTTGATCTCGGCTCGCGGGGCGGCCATCGTCACACCCACTCCCTCACAGTGTGTCCCTTCAGGTCCTCCAGGTTCTCTATCATCTCTGGACCCTGTCATCATCAACGGGACATTGTGTCAGTTCATTTGAGGACCATATCATCATCAATGGCACATTGTGGTACTGCTTTATTCCCCTTCCAATTTGCGTTAATAGAGAGATGTTTTATAAACACGCATGCACAATACAATCACTCCATTTCTTTAAAAACTTCTTACATCATTTTCAAAATCGTTCAAACACAATGACCCGAATAAAAGGACATCATACGTACGAAGGTGAAGGGTGAACCGACCTCTTCAAACTCCATGCCTTCATCTGGTTGGTCGGTTCTTCTTCGTCTCGGCAGCGGCATCCCCGTCTCTTCTTCCTCTTCACTCTCGTCATACAGGAGTCCCGGTCTCATACGACCAGTCACCAGTGATTCCTGTAGACAGAGAGAGAGAGAGAGAGAAAGGGGGGTAAGGGTGACAGAGAGAGAGAGAGAAAGGGGGGGTAAGGGTAACAGAGAGAGAGAGAGAGAGAGGGGGGGTGGGGGGTAAGGGTAACAGAGAGAGAGAGAGAGAGGGGGGGTGGGGGTAAGGGTAACAGAGACAGAGAGAGAGAGAGGGGGGTGGGGGTAAGGGTAAGAGAAAGAAGAAGAAACGGCAAATTATAAAGCAAGAAGCAATGGCTTTTCTTTGGTTGGCCTGCCCTTCCCCCGTCACATGCTTGCTAAAAAGTAAGAGAAGTTCAGGGATTTCCGCTGCATTCTCCAGCTATATATATATACTCCACCTCAGTCCATAGGTAGAGTGCCCAAAACATGACCAATGCCTATTTAAAAACCCGTCAGAGTCTTTACCTACCTGTCTGTCTCTCTTTTTCATGGCTTTCTCAGCGGCAGCCCTGGCCCCGGGATCCATTGCATCGTACTCGTCCTCGTCCAGATGCTCAGCATCATACGTGTCCAGTCGAGGTATACTCTGATACTCTCTAACAGAGAGAGAGGGGGAGGGAGGGAGCGAGTGGTTTAGTCAAGGATAAATTTGAGGGGTTCGGGCACATTTTTTTACTGTCCTCTATTCTAGGGGACTATATTTTTGCGTCTTCATTATTATTTTGGGCCTATAGCTCAGGAGAAAGCAATTCACACTATATTAACCTTAGTTCTCTGCCTACGTATGTATGTACACAATAGACACACACCCTATTCTTTTTCGCCCCTTTTCTCCCTCCTTTATCTTTCTCTTATTCCCTTCCTTTTTCTCTCTCTTTCTCCCAACACACCTCTCAAAATTGTCCCCGAACAAGTCCTCCCCCTCCCCCTCCTCCTCTTCCTCTCCTCCATCTCCGTCCCCCAGCAGCTGCTCCACCTCGTCCTGAAATGGCTCCCGATCTCCCCCACCACCTCCAGGGCTACTAGCACCGCCTACAACAAAGATACCTCGTTTACGTGTCCAAAGATAATATACAGCGGAACCCTTCTAATCTGGACATCAATTGGACAGAATGAAGTGTCCCTAGAATGGGGGTTTGCAAGAACAGTTCTTGGGGAAAGAAAAGATGTATTTGCTGGAGAGGTGTACTCATTTCAAAGGTGTTCTTTAGCCAGGCGCTCACCAACTCTTGAACTTGGACTTCGCGGCGGGCTGCTAGGCTCGCCGAAACTGCTGCTCAACGCACCCTCCGACGGTGGCTCCTGAAACGTTCACACGACGCTTCAAGCATTACAAATCCTCATGAAACTTACAGACATGTTCTCTCTAGCTGTCTCTGCAGCTGAGTTTTTCGCGGAAGTTTCCCGCGCGCCGTCACGTGAAACTGCGCTCTAAATAGAGCTAGCGTAGCGGAATAAACAGAAAAGCTGAAACAACAGGTTGGCGGAGAGAAGGTTTCCTAGCTAGTTTATGTGAGAGGAGCTGGTCTGTGAGAAAGAAGTCAATGGACTCCTTCGGCTGGTGCTCCACGAGCGCCTGCCGCTCCTTTCGCGAAGAAGAAGCGCACTCGACGCCGAATCACACGAACGCCAGCAATTTCTCCTGCCCTACCTATCCTTTCTGCGTCCTCATGCTCACCAACACCATAGACCACACAAGGTGAGCCGCGGGAACACTACTCTAGCTACTGTCAGCAACGTAATTTCTGCCTCTTGCAGCGTGAGGATATACGACCTTCTCCTGGTGTTCGGCAACGCGGTGTTTCTGTTGGTGCTCTTCATCCATATGGTCCCTACCGTCAGGAAGCTCAGTCGCAGTCTGCCTCTCTTCAAGATACTCTACTCTCTGGTATAATAACATAAATGTGTGTGGTTGCATATTATACCTGTAGCTACATACATAGTTCTGCAAATACCATTGTTCAGTAGAGCTGCCAGGGCATCCTCATTATCTGTACATTATACGCTGTACTCACTGTTGTGCTGCACAAAGTGCCGCTTTAATCTCTGTAGGAGTACATGGGAATTATGGTCTAAAGTGATGTAGACATTGTGTAGGCTAAATATTCACGTGAGTAGCAACTTATGCCTTACTATGGGTCCGACCGAACAATGCCGAAGGTACATAGGCAGCAACTACTGGGTTACTGATTCTACCAGCATAAAATACCTTATGTTCCCTTAACTTTGCAAAACTTACAGCATGTGGTATAACCCAAATTTCCACCAATATGAACTGCTAAGAGAGTACTGGCTGTCCAGCACAGTATCAAGTGTTAGTAGAGTCAATTCCATACATCCAGGCCTATAATAACCTTGTTCTAAAACAATGCTCCCACGACGAAATTCTGTTTATTCCGACACTAGGTGTTTGTGATACCAGGCATAAGTCTCGTCCATGGCCTTGTCAGCATGTCACTCGGATACCAGGACCTCTCTTCAAAGGTTCGGTTGGTCAACATTCATTACTAATGATTTTCCCATTCTCATTTCCCTAATTTAAATCAGCTGTGTGTGTTATTATAGTGTCTGTTTTTTATCGTGCAGTTAACGCAGGTGGTGGTTCGAGGCTCGATTCTCGTGACAGAGATGTGTGTCATCGTATTTGGGCTCTTCTTCAGTGAGTTTAGTACATTTACGTACTGTACGTACACTGTAGTTTCAGGTTTGCAGGCTCTAGCGAGGCTCTATCCCAGATTTAGATCCATGCTTATGCAGCGATCGACTGCAATTCACAATATACTCTGCCCTGGGATGAGATGCCACGGATGCTATATTAAGTGGGCATTGCACACTCGTGAATGGTGTAAAAGAACTGACACACACATACGGTACATACAGGAGACTAACACACACACACATCCATGGGTTATTTTATTCCGGGTTGTCTGGCAGTAGTTCAGTTGCTATTTCCCCCGCAGACAGTCTTGTAACTTTCTCCAGACCTAGACCTCGGCAAGTCTTGGCGAGAGAGGCCTTGGCAACACTGAGCAACTGTGGAGGCTGCATGTTCACGTCTGGGAAATTTGCCAGCATCAGCACAAGCTCCTTTGCCTGTGGCTTGAGAGGTTCCGGTACAAACCAGGGCATGCACGTGATGTAGTCGAGTAGGTTTTCTTGGATGAGAACTTCGCGATGCTTAGAGCGACCGAGCATGTTTTGGAGACCAAATAGTATCAGTTCGAGGCTAAGTGCCCGCATGTTTCGAAGATCGAGGCTGAGGGCTGTGGGTTCTGGGAGGTAGGCCAGCTTCACGTAGGGCATGAAGGTCTGCCACACGTACCAGTGCTCTATCTCGGTGTCTCGGATCTGTTGATAGGTGGCCGTGTCAAGAAACCCTCGCAGGAAGTGGTTGACCGACTTGCAGAGGGAGCTGGGGATGCAGTGTGGGGAGGCGAGCGCCACCTGTGCCATAAAAACTCCAGTGAAATACCTGTAGACATACACAAGACGAGTATTAGCCAACACTGCACTGGTTGTCTCAAGGTGTAAAAGTCGTGTACTGGTGTGTGTGTGTATGCACTCACTTCAGAAGGAGGATGTCTCTCTCTTTCTGGGCGGCGCCTTGTTTGTCATGCTGACACACGCAGACTTCCATTAGTCCGATGATTCCCACTGCTGCTATGTGGCTATGAGTCTCTTGCGTGGCGGCAAGACAGAGGTACAGCGTGGCAACAAGGATGGAGGTCATTGTGCGGACTGACGGCGAGAGTGCGACGCAAATCAGTTGATGGAGCACTTCCGATCGGGTGGCGATTTTCATGTGCACTTCAGGCAGCTCACTAAAACTGAGGAAGGAATGGACTGTTAACCATAGGGAGAGCATTTTCAGTTCTAGACAGCGTGTTTTTACATCTGAGTAATGACACACATACATACTTGCACAGTGTTCCTAGAGCAGCTCCAAGGTTTTCTACCAGTATCCAGTCCTGATTGGCTCCTTTTGGGGACTGTCTATCCACAATCGCTTCTCCCTTTATTATCGTCTCCCTCATGAGTGACTGCATGCACATCTCTAGACCACCGAGACGAATTATAGCCCGACGCAGTGGAAAAGTTTCAGAGAGGTTCCACAGCACTCGCAGTATCCCGTACTCTAGATACTTCATCTTGAGCAAGCACCTGCCCCATGTCTCCCTGTGCAGCAGTGAGTAGAGCTCCATCATGATTTCCAGGCCCCCTTTGCTGACAAAGTGGAGCTTGTTGGCGTATTTCTTGGCGTCCAGCCAGGGGAAAAAGTAGTTGAAGGCCAGGTTCTCTATGTACTCCAGCTCAATGGCACTGGTTACCAAGTCGTTGAGGTGCTCGCTCATACCGCGTGTTACGGACGGGTTTTCCGTCTTCAGGACGGCGAGGACGACCCCCATCCAGCTTATTATCCCCACGACTTCTTTGCAGTCTCCCTCGGCGAGGTAACGGACCGTGATAGTGTCCCCCGAACGAATGCGCGCCCGTCTGACGTCTTCCCTGTCGCTGAGCGGATACGACTCGAAGCTCAAGTCCTGGACGCATGACGGGACGTTGCACGAGCCCTCTATGGCCGACTTGAGCTCTTCTGTGGTGGGTGGCAGGGCGGGGAGGTTGACTTCTTTCACGCTGTCCGTTAGGGTGTCTGTGCACTTGAGAAGCAGGTTAAGAGTGATTATACCGTTGTTTTTACCGTCTCCTCCCGACGAACGACCGCTTTCCATCTTCCCCTCGTCCTCATAAACAGTATTTTGCCGAGTCAGCACATAGGTGTGACGTGACACACCCCCGCGCTTCGTTGTAGTTATGGCGCTACGAGAACTGAAGATAGAGCTCGAGCTAAGGTGTTCTTCCGATGACACTGTTACGCAACAGACCCTCCTGTTCAGCCCAATTCCAGAAACCGTAGCCGACATCAAGCAGCGAATTGAACAAGAGCTCTCCATCCCCAAATCGTGCCAGAGTCTCTTCCTTCCGGCCGGCGCCGACGACGCGCTTCTCGATACGGAGAGCGTGGCCAGTCTTTACGTACGCAGCGGCGACGCAGTTCGAGTTGCCTACTTAGACAAGGCGGACATCGTGCAGATACGGAGCGCCGTCGAGCGCTCCCTTCGTCCCGTGCGGCGGCTCCTTCAAGCGAACTCCTCGCTCGAGAAGGCCAGAAAGATCCTGAAGCGACGAGACTCCGACGCCCTCCTCGCCTCGTGCCAGAGCGCCCTGCATGAACTGAGCTACAAGAGCCTCCTGCCATGGGGCGCGTCTCGCACCGAAGCCAACCGGCGCTACATGCTGCAAGAAGGCGTGGTAGACCTGGTGATGGATATCTACGCTATCTTGCTCCCCTTGCCGTGGGACTGGAGGGGCCACTCGCTCCAGAACCTGGAGATTTGCTGCCTAACGTTCCTGTGGAACTTTTCCGAAACAAGGAATGCGCGACAGCTGGTGGTCGGCAAGGGGGGATTTGACATGATGCTCAAGTCTCTGATGCACCAGTCAAGCGAGGAGTTTCTGGAGAAATACGTAATGCACGACATATTTGATGTTGCCGTCGGATGCCTTTCAAAGTAAGTGTTTCAGTGTGGCTACCTTTCAGTGCAGCATTGCTTTATTATGTCCTTTCTGTGAGACAAGCCTCTATTTTTTCTAGCATATGTGAGTTGGAGTGCTGTCAAGCGCCTATGTCTAAGAACACGCCGGCTCTCCAACGCCTCCTCCACTTTGCTCTTCACGGTCCCTCCGTCAACCTCTTCACCAAAATGCTCATTGCCAACCTCTTCTTTCGTCTCTCACACGGTCGCGACACGCACGAGTCTCTCGTGGAAAAATCAATCCTGGAAAAGTTGCTCCGTTTTGCTTCCGACAGCACCAATGTCTTGATAAGGTGAACATGAATGAGTTTTTCAATGAGATTACTTTGATGGTTTAATGTACAGGTATATCCTAGGATTGACGTACGCTCGGCTCATTCTCTTCTCGCGGGACAGCCTTGACCAAGAGAGTCTGCAGCAAATGATTGAGTTCATGAAGCAATTTCTGCTACAACTGAAGCCGACCACTGTGACCCAGCTAGAAGAACGCTACCAGTACAACTGGATCACAATGCGTCCCTTTGTGGATGCATTTTACAGCTATGGAGTGGAAACAGCGAAACTGAGCAACTCGCGTTTACATAAATCGCAGCCTTCTGAGACTTGCACTGAAGAATCAACTTTACCCTCGGTTCCAGTGTCCTCCCTTGCAACTAGTGTTAGCATTGCGTACCTCTTGTTTGCTCTGAAGGTTGAGACGGGAAGGACTATAAACACTGAGCTGCTGGTACGCCAGGACTTGCTGGAGTATGTAACGATGCTGGACTGGGGATTGGACCGTGGGTGGATGACCCAGTGTGTGCAGCTGCAGGAACAAGTCACGAAAGTCTGCGACAAGCTCCCAGTCCCACGGCTCTCTCAGATTGCAAGGGCGAAGCTAGCACGCAGTGCGAAAGAGTACTCTGGACAGATAACGTCATAGTTTGCTATAATATACAATGCATTTCATGCTCTAGTCAGGTTATTCAAGATGGCTGGTTTGTCAGAAGTATGAAATCTTAGGGCACTCACTGCTTCTTCAGCTATAGTCTCAGGGATAACGATAATACACATGAGCTAATCGTCAATGGGTAAACCCCAGAGAGGTATATATGTGGGTAAACCTCAGAGAGGTATATATGTGGGTAAACCCCAGAGAGGTATATATGTGGGTAAACCCCAGAGAGGTATATATGTGGGTAAACCCCAGAGAGGTATTATATGTGGGTAAACCCCAGTAGGGAAGGGATACATAGCAAGATGTAAAACTTGCAGCTAAGCAGTGGCAACATACGACAACTGACAAATTATTACACTGCATAATTGCTATTATCCCTCTGTGATATGGCTTCCTTCCTCCGTCATTACCATAGGATCATATGCGGACAAGAAGATGAAAATAGGGTTCACACTACTTTCAATATTTACACTCTCTGCAATGTTCACAGTTGGAGAGGTAGGACTATATGGTATACTGCCTGACATGATACTGTGTGTAACTCTTTCAGGGAGTCTCAGAGCTCCTCAAAAACAGAAAAACCCTCGTGTGCCACGAACTGGATCTATTCACTCATGGAGGAATGGTTTTTCTATTCACAACGTCCATTATTTTCGCAACTGTAAGTAATTTTGCGTTTGGGCCACACGGCAAACATGTATAGCTAGTGGAACACTTAAAATTTCAGAGGTTTCATCAATAGCAGTGGTCGCCTATTTATCTGTGTGCTTTAAACTCGGGCGATCTGTTTTCGGTATAACTTCTGTCTACGTTGTATTATGTTTTAGGTGTATTTCTTGATATACCTGATGTACTTGCTTGGCCTTTCCAAACGCTGGGATTTCCCATGTAAGTTGTTGTATTGAGCTTTTATAACTCACCACCTACCTTTCTTTTGGCTCTTCAGCCAAGAAGTCATTCTATCGCTATGCCATGGTGCTGTCGCTGATCAATATCCTGCAAGCTATTGGTAGCATGCTGTGGTACACCGGGAGGAATAGACGAGCAAGTGGAAGTGCTGGAATATGGTACTTCTTACTGTATCTGTTTATACTTTTCTACTATTAACCTTGTTTTCTTTTGTCTCCCAGCATTACATCGCTAACTAACTTTGTCTATCTCACAACATTTGCACCCGTCGTATATTGGATCTTCCTCAAAAACTACTTCAGGTAATTATATGTACTGCTATCATCTGGCATAATTATCACAATGTGCTCTGTGACTTTCGCTCACACTGTTCACATCAATAGAATGAACAAATTACCACCTACTGAAAGACCAGGTGAAACAACACCAGCTATCAATACGTCAGAAGAGCCAAGTCCAACCACTAAGAAACGGTCCACCAGCGTGCGGTTTTCCAAGCCCTACCTTATCTCCAAAAGAAGCAGCTACTTTGAAGAGCAAACAATGTTGGAAGGAGATCTGGAGTCTTCTGTCAGTTCCTACGGTAGCTTCAGAGACGAGGAAACTTTTTCCAGATTAGACAAATGATATTTTATACCACACGTCACAAACGACAAACACGCAACGCAAACGTAAAGATATGGTGTACGCGTAGTGGTTTGCGTTACTAATACGAAGCGATGTAGGGGGCGTGCCTCAAAACACTTGAGCGAGATGGCTGCCAAGGCTGAAGGCGGTCTGTTGGTGGCAAAAGGAAAGGCACCACTGCCCCTCAAGAGCGTCTCTGTGGACGCACAAGTCAGGGGCTTCGTCATGGGGCTCCGGTCCACCCTCACCTACTCCAACGACTCTCCAGATCCAGTGGAGGTCCTCTTCAGATTCCCAGTGGAGAAGTCGCACGCTGTAGTCGGCCTCACAGCCGTCATCGACGGACGTAAGATCGCGGCTCAAGTGCGCGAGAAAGAAGAAGCGAGAGCGCAGTACGACGACGCGATCGCAAGCGGTCTTTCCGCAGCACTAGCCGAGGAAAAGAGCGGCGACATTTTCAGCATCGCACTGGGCAACCTTCCACCGGGGAAGGACGCTCAAATCCAGTTGCAGCTTGTCGGGGAGCTGGGCGTTGACGCGGAGGGTGGGGTTCGCTTTTCTCTTCCGTCCACCCTCAAGCCTCGTTACACCCCCACGGGCTCCACTGATCCGCTGGCACCAGTCCCAGCAGGAGAAGAGGAGCAGGTGAAGAGTGGTACGGTATCGGCGGTGTCGTGGTTCCGCCTGACAGTGGAAGGAGCAGATGGTGTAGCAGAAGTCACCTCCCCCACCCACTCCATCACTGTCAAACCAAATGATGCCAACCAACTTGACGTCCGTCTCTCAAAGGAGCTGGACAGCGACCTAGTGATTCTGGTGAAGCACAAAAGCCCGTATGCTCCAACATCATCAGTCGAACCTGGGGTGGGTGGAGAAGGCACTGGGGATTTTATATCTGGTTCAGCAGTTATGCTTAACTTTTTCCCTACCTTCAAGAAGGACGAGGCAGCATGCGAATTTATCTTTTTGGTGGATCGCAGCGGGAGCATGAGTGGGTCATTCATCTGCAGTGCTCGCGAAACGCTCGTTTTTTTCCTCAAGAGCCTCCCTGAAGGCTGCTACTTCAACATCATCGGATTCGGCTCCTCCTATGAGAAACTGTTTCCCCGGAGCGTTGTATACAACGAGAAGCATTCGGAGCAAGCCATGAAGCACACTCAGAGCATGACGGCAAATCTCGGCGGCACTGAGCTATTGCCTCCCCTCGAGTACATATTTGGGTCGCCGTGCCTCAAGGGCTTCACTCGGCAGGTGTTTGTTCTGACTGACGGCTCAGTTAGCAACACTGACGCCTGCATCCGGCAAGTGCGTGCTAATGTCAACACTACCAGGTATGGTTGCTCATTGCACGTTGGTTGCTTCTGTTTATGCATCATTCCGCCCTTCCTTTCACCGTTTTAGGTGCTTCACATTCGGGATTGGTTCTGGAGCATCGTCAGCTCTTGTGGAGGGGCTTGCACAGGCTGGGAATGGCACGGCCGAGTTTGTAAAGGATGGAGAGCGGATGCAACCAAAAGTTAGTATTGAATTCATATAGCAACACTACAAGGGCTGTCGGCTGTCCTGTGTGAATAAGGGCACAGAGTACAAGGACCTCTGAACGTGTATTCCATAAGGCCAAAGTGTATGATATTCACAAGCTGCTATTTGAGCTGTGTGTGTCTCGTTTTCCCCATAACAGGTGATACGTAGTCTCAAGAGAGCTCTACAACCGGCAATGACAGATATCAGTCTGGAGTTCAAAGTGCCCTCAAAATGTGTAGTGCTGCAGAGTCCGCAGAATCTCCCTCCCATTTTCAATGGAGAAAAGCTGGTAGCTTATGCTGTAATTCAATCAAAGGCCCCATTCAAAGGATCGAAATGTACAGCACTCTTGAAGGGGAAAATGCTTGGAGCAAAACAGAAGTACAGCGTTCCATTCGTGCTTAACAGCTCCGCCCCAGCACCAAGCCTGCCTGTCATCCACCATCTTGCTGCAAAAGCACTCATCACAGATTGGGAGACAGCGCAAAAGGAGAAGAAAAGCATCGTTGATCTGAGCGTCGAGTCGAGTGTCATCTCCTCCCACACTGCCTTTATTGCCGTTGATGAAGAGAGCTCCGAGCCTGTCAGCGGCTCCATGAAGACCTTTGATCTACGAGCTAAAGGGTGGGGTTCAAATCGGAGCAGTAGCTGCAGTTACAGCTCAATGAGCGATGAAGATTGTGAAGATGTTTTGCCCACTATGTCTGCAGCACCTCCACCTCGTCCTCCTAAGCCTCGTGTTTTGCCCACTATGTCTGCAGCACCTCCACATAGTGCTCCTAAGCCTCGTGCCGCCACCAACAAGAAAATAAGAGGAGCACCGAGAGCTGTAGATGCTGAAGAGAGTGATGAAGAAGAGCACAAAGCTATGCCAGTACAAATGAAAGAAACGTTGAATGAATTGTGCGAGGCAGAGTTGGAGTATGAACTGGCATCGTGGTCAGAGGGCGAAGGACAGGAGAGGGTACTGCAGCAGAGAATGGAAAAAGAGGCCAAGCAAGCATCTTCAGACAAAATGGCGGGCCTGGCCACCCTAACCAGCTTGATCACAGCGCAGCAAGTAAAAGGCTCTTGGGAGCTGACTGCCTCATTTGCTCAGCTGATTGGAAAGCCACTTGCAGACTTGGAGGCAGCCTGTCCAATTGGGAGAGAGGGAGTGGGGCCTACAGTGTGGGCTACCGTTCTGGCGGTGAGTCTACTGCGATCTCGATACTCCAGTCAGCAAGATGAGTGGGAGCTGATTGCAATGAAGGCCGAGTCGTGGCTGAAGAAACAGAGCCTCCCAAGTGACATAACCCTTCAGAAACTATTCCAAGATGCTCAGAAGCTACTTCAGTAGCTCCAAAATTAGTAGCACCATTACGTAATGATTACCTTTTGCGAACGAAGTCACAACAGACGCTCTGATAAGACGGGCGCAGTCATCATTCTGTACGCGCTGGGAGGGAGCCACTGGAGATACGACAGGGGCTGCTGATAGATTATGACCACTGCTTCTGGCCTCGTTCCGAAAGGGAAGGATGCGTCCCTCCCCCTCAAGAGCGTCTCTGTGGATGCTCAAGTCAGGGGCTTCGTCATGGGGCTCCGGTCCACCCTCACCTACTCCAACGACTCTCCAGATCCAGTGGAGGTCCTCTTCAGATTCCCAATGGAGAAGTCGCACGCTGTAGTCGGCCTCACAGCCGTCATCGACGGACGTAAGATCGCGGCTCAAGTGCGCGAGAAAGAAGAAGCGAGAGCGCAGTACGACGACGCGATCGCAAGCGGTCTTTCCGCAGCACTAGCTGAGGAGAAGAGCGGCGACATTTTCAGCATCGCACTAGGCAACCTTCCACCGGGGAAGGACGCGCAAATACAGTTGCAGCTTGTCGGGGAGCTGGGCGTTGACGCGGAGGGTGGGGTTCGCTTTTCTCTTCCATCCACCCTCAAGCCTCGTTACACCCCCGCGGGCTCCACTGATCCGCTGGCATCAGTCCCAGCAGGAGAAGAGGAGCAGGTGAAGAGTGGTACGGTATCGGCGGTGTCGTGGTTCCACCTGACAGTGGAGGGAGCAGATGGTGTAGCAGTAGTTACCTCCCCCACCCACTCCATCACTGTCACACCAAATGATGCCAACCAACTTGACGTCCGTCTCTCAAAGGAGCTGGACAGCGACCTAGTGATTCTGGTGAAGACGAAAGAGCCACACGCTCCCAAGGCGATTGTAGAGGGTGGGGAGGAGAAAAAGGGGTCCTTCATGTCTAGTACCACAGTTATGCTCAACTTCTTTCCTAGCTTTCCAGAGATAGAGGCAGCGTGCGAGTTCATTTTCCTTGTCGATCGCAGTGGAAGCATGAGAGGTTCGTACATCAAAAGCGCTCGTGAAACTCTCGTTCTTTTCCTAAAGAGTCTTCCTCAGGGCAACTACTTCAACATCATGGGGTTTGGTTCCTCTTACACGTCGCTCTTCCCGAACCCTGTGCCCTATGACAAAAAGCACTTGGAAAAGGCCATCAAGCATGCTCAAGGGATGGAAGCAGATCTCGGGGGCACAGAGCTGTTGCGACCACTGCAGCACATCTTCGAGACGAAGCCACGCTCGGGGTATGCAAGGCAGGTGTTCGTGTTGACTGACGGATCTGTGAGCAACACTGACGCCTGTATTCAGGAGATGAGAAGCAACCTCAAAAATGCAAAGTGAGAGGCTTCTTTTCTGCTTCACGTGGCTAAAAATGACTAGTATTTTCTTCCCAGGTGTTTCACTTTTGGAATAGGATCTGGAGCTTCATCTGCCCTGGTCAATGGTCTTGCTACAGCTGGAAATGGAGCGGCAGAGTTTGTGAAGGAGGGAGAGCGCATGCAACCAAAGGTTTGTCACACTCTGCATTAACCAACGTAATTTCAAATGTCTCACTGTACAGGTTATACGTAGCCTCAAGCGAGCTCTGCAGCCTGCCATAACCGATGTTTCAGTCAGTTTTGAGGTCCCAAAGGAGTTTCAAGTTACGCAAAGTCCACAAAACCCCCCACCGGTCTTCAATGGAGAAAAGTTGGTCGTGTATGCTACGCTCAAATCACAGAAAGCCCTCGAGAAAACAGACTGCACCGCCACCTTGAAGGGAAATATGCTTGGAGAAGAGCTGGAGTATAAAATACCTTTTACGTTCGACAGCTCTGCCTCAGCACCAAGCCTACTTGTCATCCACCATCTTGCTGCAAAAGCACTCATCACAGATTGGGAGACGGCACGAAAGGAGAAGAAGAGCATCGTTGATCTGAGCATCGAGTCGAGTGTCATCTCCTCCCACACTGCATTTATTGCCGTTGATGAAGAGAGCTCCGAGCCTGTCAGCGGCTCCATGAAAGTATACAACATTCAAGCTCCTATGAGATTCAGTTTTGGTGGTGGTCGTGGTGGTGGTACACGCAGGGAAGCAATGCATGCTGCTCCACGAATGAGATGCATGTCTGGTGGTGGTGGTGGTGCACCCAGGGGAGCAATGCTGCCAATGAATGCTTCTCCACGAATGAAGGACAAAAAGAGAAGTAAAGGGCGTTCTGTTGCTGAAGGTTCCCCATCACTAGCAAATTGTCCTACAAGACTTGAACGCGATGAAATGTGTCTTGAGAAGGGTGCTGCTAGAGCACCTGAATCTGTTGTTGCAGTTTCACCTGCACCTTTGTCAAGCTTGTTTGGTGATCGAGGGGGAACCCCTCCAAAACCCACCAACACTTTGGAAGATTTAGTTTCTGCCCAACAGCTAGATGGCTCTTGGGAGCTGACTTCATCGTTTGCTCAGCTTATTGGAAAGCCACTTGCGGTTTTGAAGGCAGCCTGTCCCATTGGAGTGGGGCCTACAGTGTGGGCTACTGTTCTGGCAGTGAGTCTACTGCGATCTCGATACTCAAGTCAGCAAGATGAGTGGGAGCTGATTGCAATGAAGGCCGAGTCGTGGCTAAAGAAACAGAACCTGTCAAGTGTTGAGAAGATATTCAATGATGCAAAACTCTTTCAGTAGGCAAAATTGTAAACTTAGTAACACATTGTTATGATTACGTATATGAATGTGATTGGGCCAAGTGACGCATGGAAATTCCTTGTCCAGTCCCTGACTCCCCTGATAGAAACTTACGCCTACGGGAGAGGAGTATAAAAGGGGAAGGCGGAACAGCTAGTCATCGATCAAGTGGTAGCTCAACGCGAACCGGAACAACAGGACCGCTGATCACCATGACCACTTCTCCTGCTACTTCTGGCCTCGTCCCGAAAGGAAAGGATGCGTCTCTGCCTCTCAAGAGCGTCTCTGTGAACGCACAAGTCAGGGGCTTCGTCATGGGGCTCCGGTCCACCCTCACCTACTCCAACGACTCTCCAGATCCAGTGGAGGTCCTCTTCAGATTCCCAGTGGAGAAGTCGCACGCTGTAGTCGGCCTCACAGCCGTCATCGACGGACGTAAGATCGCGGCTCAAGTGCGCGAGAAAGAAGAAGCGAGAGCGCAGTACGACGACGCGATCGCAAGCGGTCTTTCCGCAGCACTAGCTGAGGAGAAGAGCGGCGACATTTTCAGCATCGCATTGGGCAACCTTCCACCGGGGAAGGACGCGCAAATACAGTTGCAGCTTGTCGGGGAGCTGGGCGTTGACGCGGAGGGTGGGGTTCGCTTTTCTCTTCCATCCACCCTCAAGCCTCGTTACACCCCCGCGGGCTCCACTGATCCGCTGGCACCAGTCCCAGCAGGAGAAGAGGAGCAGGTGAAGAGTGGTACGGTATCGGTGGTGTCGTGGTTCCACCTGACAGTGGAGGGAGCAGATGGTGTAGCAGAAGTTACCTCCCCCACCCACTCCATCACTGTCACACCAAATGATGCCAACCAACTTGACGTCCGTCTCTCAAAGGAGCTGGACAGCGACCTAGTGATTCTGGTGAAGACGAAAGAGCCACACGCTCCCAAGGCGATTGTAGAGAGTGGGGAGGAGAAAAAGGGGTCCTTCATGTCCAGTACCGCAGTTATGCTCAACTTCTTTCCTAGCTTTCCAGAAATAGAGGCAGCATGCGAGTTCATTTTCCTTGTCGATCGCAGTGGAAGCATGAGTGGTTCGTACATCAAAAGCGCTCGTGAAACTCTCGTTCTTTTCCTAAAGAGTCTTCCTCAGGGCAACTACTTCAACATCATGGGGTTTGGTTCCTCTTACACGTTGCTCTTCCCGAACCCTGTGCCTATGACAAAAAGCACTTGGAAAAGGCCATCAAGCATGCTCAGGAGATGGAAGCAGATCTCGGGGGCACAGAGCTGTTGCGACCACTGCAGCACATCTTCGAGACGAAGCCACGCTCGGGGTATGCAAGGCAGGTGTTCGTGTTGACTGACGGATCTGTGAGCAACACTGACGCCTGTATTCAGGAGATGAGAAGCAACCTCAAAAATGCAAGGTGAGAGGCTTCTTTTCTGCTTCACGTGGCTAAAAATGACTAGTATTTTCTCCCCAGGTGTTTCACTTTTGGAATAGGATCTGGAGCTTCATCTGCCCTGGTCAATGGTCTTGCTACAGCTGGAAATGGAGCGGCAGAGTTTGTGAAGGAGGGAGAGCGCATGCAACCAAAGGTTTGTCACACTCTGCATTAACCAACGTAATTTCAAATGTCTCACTGTACAGGTTATACGTAGCCTCAAGCGAGCTCTGCAGCCTGCCATAACCGATGTTTCAGTCAGTTATGAGGTCCCAAAGGAGTTCGAAGTTACGCAAAGTCCACAAAGTCCCCCACCGGTTTTCAATGGAGAAAAGTTGGTCGTGTATGCTACGCTCAAATCACAGAAAGCCCTCGAGAAAACAGACTGCACCGCCACCTTGAAGGGAAATATGCTTGGAGAAGAGCTGGAGTATAAAATACCTTTTACGTTCGACAGCTCTGCCTCAGCACCAAGCCTACTTGTCATCCACCATCTTGCTGCAAAATCACTCATCACAGATTGGGAGACGGCACGAAAGGAGAAGAAGAGCATCGTTGATCTGAGCATCGAGTCGAGTGTCATCTCCTCCCACACTGCATTTATTGCCGTTGATGAAGAGAGCTCCGAGCCTGTCAGCGGCTCCATGAAAGTATACGACATTCAAGCTCCAATGGAAGAATATTCTTGTAGGTTCAGGGGTGGTGGTGGTGGATCCGGGGGAGCAATGCAGCTGTATGCGTCACTGTCTTTAGGTGCAACTTTAGGTGCTCCAATGATGGTCCAAAAAAAAAGTAAAAAGGGGGCATCTCCTCTTCGAGCATTATTTGGCAGAAAGAATCGTTTGGCTGCTGCTAGAAGTTCATCGCCAGAAGAATGTTTCGATGTTTCAGTGGATCGCGCTATGGCTTCGGATGAAACATACGAGTGTGACTCGATTGAAGGTTCAGTAAACCCCATTTCAAAACCCACCAACACACTGGAAGATCTGATTTCTGCTCAGCAGCTCGACGGCACCTGGGAGCTGACTTCCTCATTTGCTCAGCTGACCGGAAAGCCACTTGCAGACTTGGAGGCAGCCTGTCCCATTGGAAGAGAGGGAGTGGGGGCTACAGTGTGGGCTACCATTCTGGCAGTGAGTCTACTGCGATCTCGATACTCAAAGTCAGCAAGATGAGTGGGAGCTGATTGCAATGAAGGCCGAGTCGTGGCTAAAGAAACAGAACCTGTCAAGTGTTGAGAAGATATTCAATGATGCAAAACTCTTTCAGTAGGCAAAATTGTAAACTTAGTAACACATTGTTATGATTACGTATATGAATGTGATTGGGCCAAGTGACGCATGGAAATTCCTTGTCCAGTCCCTGACTCCCCTGATAGAAACTTACGCCTACGGGAGAGGAGTATAAAAGGGGAAGGCGGAACAGCTAGTCATCGATCAAGTGGTAGCTCAACGCGAACCGGAACAACAGGACCGCTGATCACCATGACCACTTCTCCTGCTACTTCTGGCCTCGTCCCGAAAGGAAAGGATGCGTCTCTGCCTCTCAAGAGCGTCTCTGTGAACGCACAAGTCAGGGGCTTCGTCATGGGGCTCCGGTCCACCCTCACCTACTCCAACGACTCTCCAGATCCAGTGGAGGTCCTCTTCAGATTCCCAGTGGAGAAGTCGCACGCTGTAGTCGGCCTCACAGCCGTCATCGACGGACGTAAGATCGCGGCTCAAGTGCGCGAGAAAGAAGAAGCGAGAGCGCAGTACGACGACGCGATCGCAAGCGGTCTTTCCGCAGCACTAGCCGAGGAAAAGAGCGGCGACATTTTCAGCATCGCACTGGGCAACCTTCCACCGGGGAAGGACGCTCAAATCCCAGTTGCAGCTTGTCGGGGAGCTGGGCGTTGACGCGGAGGGTGGGGTTCGCTTTTCTCTTCCATCCACCCTCAAGCCTCGCTACACCCCCGCGGGCTCCACTGATCCGCTGGCACCAGTCCCAGCAGGAGAAGAGGAGCAGGTGAAGAGTGGTACGGTATCGGGGTGTCGTGGTTCCACCTGACAGTGGAGGGAGCAGATGGTGTAGCAGAAGTTACCTCCCCCACCCACTCCATCACTGTCACACCAAATGATGCCAACCAACTTGACGTCGTCTCTCAAAGGAGCTGGACAGCGACCCTAGTGATTCTGGTGAAGACGAAAGAGCCACACGCTCCCAAGGCGATTGTAGAGGGTGGGGAGGAGGAAAAAGGGGTCCTTCATGTCTAGTACCGCAGTATGCTCTAAATTCTTCCTAGCTTTCCAGAGATAGAGCAGCAGTGCGAGTTCATTTTCCTTGTCGATCGCAGTGGAAGACATGAGAGGTTCGTACATCAAAGCGCTCGTGAAACTCTCGTTCTTTTCCTAAAGGAGTCTTCCTCAGGGCAACTACTTCAACATCATGGGGGTTTGGTTCCTCGTACACGTCGCTCTTCCCGAACCCTGTGCCCTATGACAAAAAGCACTTGGAAAAGGCCACTCAAGCATGCTCAAGGGATGGAAGCAGATCTCGGGGGCACAGAGGCTGTTGCGACCACTGCAGCACATCTTCGAGACGAAGCCACGCTCGGGGTATGCAAGGCAGGTGTTCGTGTTGACTGACGGATCTGTGAGCAACACTGACGCCTGTATTCAGGAGATGAGAAGCAACCTCAAAAATGCAAGTGAGAGGCTTCTTTTCTGCTTCACGTGGCTACAAAAATGACGCTAGTATTTCTTCACAGGTGTTTCACTTTTGGAATAGGATCTGGAGCTTCATCTGCCCTGGTCAATGGTCTTGCTACAGCTGGACATGGAGCGGCAGAGTTTGTGAAGGAGGGATGAGCGCATGCAACCAAGGTTTGTCACACTCTGCATTAACCAACGTAATTTCAAATGTCTCACTGTACAGGTGTACGTAGCCTCAAGCGAGCTCTGCAGCCTGCCATAACCGATGTTTCAGTCAGTTTGAGGTCCCAAAGGAGTTTCAAGTTACGCAAAGTCCACAAAAACCCCCCACCGGTCTTCAATGGAGAAAAGTTGGTCGGTGTATGCTACGCTCAAATCACAGAAAGCCCTCGAGACAGACAGACTGCACCGCCACCTTGAAGGGAAATATGCTTGGAGAGAGAGACTGGAGTATAAATACCTTTTACGTCGACAGCTCTGCCTCAGCACCAAGCCTACTTGTCATCCACCATCTTGCTGCAAAAGCACTCATCACAGATTGTGGAGACGGCACGAAAGGAGAAGAAGAGCATCGTTGATCTGAGCATCGAGTCAGAGTGTCATCTCCTCCCACACTGCATTTATTGCCGTTGATGAAGAGAGCTCCGAGCCTGTCAGCGGCTCATGAAGTATACACCTTCAAGCCTCTATGAGATTCAGTTTTGGTGGTGGTCGTGGTGGTGGTACACGCAGGGAAGCAATGCATGCTGCTCCACGAATGATATGCATGTCTGGTGGTGGTGGTGGTGCACCCAGTGGGAAGCAATGCTGCCATGAATGCTTCTCCACGAATGAAGGACAAAAGAGAAGTAAAGGGCGTTCTGTTGACTGAAGGTTCCCCGTCACTAGCAAATTGTCCTACAAGACTTGAACGCGATGAAATGTTGTCTTGAGAAGGGTGCTGCTAGAGCACCTGAATCTGTTGCAGTTTCACCTGCACCTTTTTCAAGCTTGTTTGGTGATCGAGGGGAACCCCCCAAAACCACCAACACTTGGAATGTAGTTAGTTCTGCCCCAACAGCTAGATGGCTCTTGGGAGCTGACTCAGTTGCTCAGCTTATTGAAAGCCACATTGCGGTTTTGAAGGCAGCCTGTCCATTGGAGTGGGGCCTACAGTTGTGGGCTACTGTTCTGGCAGTGAGTCTACTGCGATCTCGATACTCAAGTCAGCAAGTGATGTGGGAGCTGATGGCAATGAAGGCCGAGTCGTGGCTAAAGAAACAGAACCTGTCAAGTGTTGAGAAGATTTCAATGATGCAAAACTCTTTCAGTAGGCAAAATTGTAAACTAGTAAACAAAATTGTTATGATTACGTATATGAATGTGATTGGGCCAAGTGACGCATGGAATTCCTTGTACAGTCCCTGACTCCCCTGATAGAAACTTACGCCTACGGAGAGGAGTATAAAAGGGAAGGCGGACAGCTAGTCATCGATCAAGTGGTAGCTCACGCGAACCGGAACAACAGGACCGTGATCACCATGACCACTTCTCCTGCTACTTTCTGGCATCGTCCCGAAAGGAAAGGATGCGTCTCTGCCTCTCAAGAGCGTCTCTGTGAACGCACAGTCAGGGGCTTCGTCATGGGGCTCGGTCTCCACCCTCACCTACTCCAACGACTCTCCAGATCCAGTGGAGGTCCTCTTCAGAGTCCCAGTGGAGAAGTCGCACGCTGTAGTCGCCCTCACAGCCGTCATCGACGGACGTAGATCGCGGCTCAAGTGCGCGAGAAAGAAGAAGACCGAGAGCGCAGTACGACGACGCGATCGCAAGCGGTCTTTCCGCAGCACTAGCTGAGGAGAAGAGCGGCGACGTTTTCAGCATCGCATTGGGCAACCTTCCACCGGGAAGGACGCGCAAATACAGTTGCAGCTTGTCGGGGAGCTGGGCGTTGACGCGGAGGGTGGGTCGCTTTTCTCTTCCATCCACCCTCAAGCCTCGTTACACCCCGCGGGCTCCACTGATCGCTGGCACCAGTCCCAGCAGGAGAAGAGGAGCAGTGAGAGTGGTACGGTATCGGTGTGTCGTGTTCACCTGCACGAGTGCGAGGGAGCAGATGTGTAGCAGAAGTTACACCCACTCCATCACTGTCACACCAAATGATGCCAACCAACTTGACGTCCGTCTCTCAAAGGAGCTGGACAGCGACCTAGTGATTCTGGTGAAGACGAAAGAGCCCACGCTCAAGGCGATGTAGAGAGTGGGGGAGAGAAAAAGGGGTCCTTCATGTCCAGTACCGCAGTTCATGCTCAACTTCTTCCTAGCTTTCCAGAAATAGAGGCACGCATGCGAGTTCATTTTCCTTGTCGATCGCAGTGGAAGCATGAGTGTTCGTACATCAAAAGCGCTCGTGAAACTCTCGTTCTTTTCCTAAAGAGTCTTCCTCAGGGCAACTACTCAACATCATGGGTTTGGTTCCTTTACACGTTGCTCTTCCCGAACCCTGTGCCCTATGACAAAACAGCACTTGAAAAGGCCATCAAGCATGCTCAGGGATGGAAGCAATCTCGGGGGCACAGAGCTGTTGCGACCACTGCCGCACATCTTCGAGACGAAGCCACGCTCTGTATGCAAGCAGGTGTCGTGTTGACTGACGGATCTGTGAGCAACACTGACGCCTGTATTCAGGAGATGAGAGCAACCTCAAAATGCAAGGTGAGAGGCTTCTCTTTCTGCTTCACGTGGCTAAAAATGACTAGTATTTCTCCCCAGGTTGTTTTCACTTTTGGAATAGGATCTGAGCTTCATCTGCCCTGCGTCAATGTGCTGTGCGTAGCGAGCGTGAGAATGGAGCGCAGAGTTGTGAAGGAGGGAGAGCGCATGCAAGCCAAAGGTTGGTCACACTCTGCATTAACCAACGTAATTTCAAATGTCTCACTGTACAGGTTATACGTAGCCTCAAGCGAGCTCTGCAGCCTGCCATAACCGATGTTGCAGTCAGTTTTGACGCGTCCAAGGAGGTCGAAGTTACGCAAAGTCCACAAAACTCCCCACCGAGTTTTCAATGGAGGAAAAAATGGTCGTGTGATGCTACGCTAAAATCACAGCAAAGCCTCGAGAAAAACAGACTGCACCGCCACTTGAAGGGAAATGTGCTTGGAGAGAGCTGAGCATAAAATACCTTTACGCTCGACAGCTCCGCCCCAGCCACCAAGCTGCTGTCATCAACTTCTTGCTTGCAAAGGCACTCATCCAGATTGGGAGACGGCAAATAAGGAGAGAAGAGCATCGTTGATCTGAGCATGGCGGTCGAGTGTAATCTCCTCGCACACTGCCTTTATTGCGTTGATGAAGAGAGCTCCGAGCCTGTCAGCGGCTCATGAAAGTATACGACATTCAAGCTCCAATGCGATAGAATGGTTATTGTAGTTCATGGGGTGTGGTGTGGTGATCCCGGGGAGCATGCAGCTGTGTGCGTCACTGTCTTGAGGTGCCACCTTTAGGTGCTCCAATGATGGTCACAAAGCACAACGTAAAAAGAAAAGGGCATCTCCTCTCTCGAGCATTATTTGGCAGAAAGAATCGTTTGGCTGCTGCTAGAAGTTCATCGCCAGAGATGTTCGAGTTTCAGTGGATCGACGCTATGCTTCGGAGAAAGCATGACAATACGAGTGTGACTCGATTGAAGTTCAGTAAACCACCATTTCAAAACCCAACAACACACTGTAGATCTGTTCTGCTCAGCAGCTCGACGCACCTGGGAGCTGACTTCCTCCTTTGCTCAGCTGACCGGCAAAGCCACTTGCAGACTTGAGCAGCCTGCCATGGGAAAGCGAAGGAGTGGGGCTACAGTGTGGCTACCATTCTGGCAGTGAGTCTACTGCGATCTACGAATACTCAAGTCAGCAAGATGAGTGGGAGCTGATTGCAATGAAGGACCGAGTCGTGGCTGAAGAAACAGAGCATCCAAGTGGCATAACCCTCGAGAAGCTATTCAAGATGACTCAGAAGCAGCTTATTAGAGTACTTTTGACCATAGTGCTAAAAATAGTAGCCAATTACCTTATGATGCCGTAGCTATCAGTGAGTGACCAGTGCAAAACTAGTTGATGCATGCACGTATATCTCGTGTGCCGCAGGAACTATCGCAATGTCTGCGGTCTTCCCTGTTACTGGCCTCGTTCCGGAAGGGGAGATGGGTCGCTGCCTATCAAGAGTCTCTTTGGTGCTCAAGTCAGGGGCTTTGTCATGGGGCTTCCGGTCCCCATCACATACTACCAAGACTCTCCAGATCCAGTGGACGGTCATCTTCAGATTCCAATGAGGAAGTCGCACGCTGTAGTCGGCTCACAGCCGTCATCGACGGACGTAAGATCGCGGCTCCAGTGCGCGAGAAAGACGAAAGCGAGAGCGCGGTACGACGAACGCGTCGCAAGCGGTAGTTCAGCCAGCATAGCTGAGGAGAAGAGCGGCCGACATTTTCAGCATCGCATTGGGCAACCTTCCACAGGGGAAGGGACGCGACAAATACAGTTCAGCTTGTCGGGGAGCTGGCGTTGACGGGAGGTGGGGAGCTTTTTCTCTTCCATCCACCCTCAGATCGTACCACCCAGCTGGGCTACACTGATCCGCTGGCACCAGTCCCAGAAGGAGAAGAGTAGCAGGTGAAGAGGGTACGATCGGTTGTGTCGTGGTTCCAACAGACAGTGAGGGAGCAGATGGTGTTTTGTGTAGAGAGTTACCT